GATTTTCTATCCTCAATAAGATCTGATTCTGATGATAGCGCATACAGAAGACGTAAAGATCAATCCCAATCTCACCGTGAGAACTTATACGCCCACAGCCGACCCAGCAGGATCCAACCCACTCCCGGTCGGATTATACTTTCATGGGGGCGGCTTCTGCTGCGGTGATTTAGAGTCCGAGGACACGTTCTGCAGGCTTCTTGCTGAACGTCTGCCTTGTGTTGTCATCTCGGTGGGCTACAGGCTCGCACCGGAGCACAAGGCCCCCGCTCAACTGGATGATGCGCTCGAGGCTTGGAATTGGGTGAGTCGCACAAGTGACTATCTCAATCTGACATTTCAGTTTTGCTTACATTTCAGGCATACAACAACGCAAGTACTTTGAACGGTGACTGTGGGAGATACTTCACTGTTGGTCAGAGTGCAGGGGGCAATCTCGCTTTGGCAGTGGCACGCCGATTGATCGTGCTTGGCCGGAAAAATGAAGTCAAGGGGATCGCAGCCATTGCTCCGTTCGTTGTCCACCCGGATGGTGTTCCACCGGCTTATAAGACTCAGTATCGTTCTTTTGGTGAACTCGGAGACGGTCCCATCAACACGAAGCAAGCCATGACCCAGTTCTACGGTTGGTGGTGCCTATGCATTAACAAGCAGTCATTTCGTTGACCTAGGTGGTTACAGAAGCAATCCAGGCGCAGCCCAGCGACCCAGACGTTTACATTCTTAATGCGGAGGCAGATTTACCCCAATTCCCTCCGACCTATTTGGCAGTCTGTGGGATTGATCCACTACGCGACGACGGCCTTATCATCCACGACGCCTTGAAGACAGCTGGGTATGTTTTGCTCCTGCTTGACTGCCTTCGTATGGATGCCCATTTATTCTAACCTTGCCTATTGCAGAGTTTCTGTAAAATTGGATTATTACCAAGGTTTACCGCATGTGTTCTGGGCCTTTGATTGTCCTGCTCCAAGTGGCGATTTCGTGGCGGATGTATTGGCTGGTGTTCGAACTTTCATGGATACTTGAGAGACCGATGCCGCGCAAGACTAGGTAGATGGTGCCTAAGGTACGCCGAGTTTGGGGTGGGGTGGCTTCCTACGTAGGCCTTATGTCTTGGGAGCGGAAATCAAGATGATAAAATCAAAGACGGGCTCCATCTTAAAGCTATCGCAGTTAGTGCAAGCAAGATTACTTTGGTAACGCTACCCGTGGCTTTCGCCGATAAAGGTAGATTACAAGATGGAGAATAATCAATACAGTAGCATAGACAGAACGCCTCTAATTCAAGCTAGGGGAGGTCGTATTAGAGCGTGAAAGGCTTGATAAAACCGACTTTAAAACGTTTATTCTTCCTGGCACTTTCAAAGTTGCGAGTCCTTACTTGTTTGCCGCGATGGGAAGGGCCTGCCATCCGGCAGATCGAAATCTTTCATAGGTCGAAGAATAATCCTTCTCGTTCCTTCAAATGCTTTTCATTGCTACAGCCTGCTGAAACCCGTGTCTGAGTCTTCTAGGGATGGAAAGATGGCGTTCCCATTGTAAACAGGTCTGTAGGACTGTGACACCGATCGATCAAGTCAGTAAGAGCTCTTATTGATACCGAATATTCTTATTGCTATCATCACCCAGATCCTGTGTACATGGTTAACCTCGGAACTTGGGATCTTCAAATCGTAGATAAAGCGAAGAGACAGACAGCAGCTAGTATTTTCTATAGGAAACGTACGATAGATACAGTCTGGCAAAACAGATTGTAAATCATTCGTGGAGCAACGGGAACGGGGCAACCGTTCGAAATTCAAGGCTCGGTATCGTCCGATGGTTGATATATTTGTCCAAGGTTTTAGGACAGAAGATTGATCAATCATATTAACTTCACTTGGAAGTTTAAAGCTGCAGAGGAGACCGCATGATCGGAAAGCTATCACACTAATGCTAAGTAGCAGATGATTTCTACCGATAGGTATTGTGTCATGGTGGTATTCCGAGCCCTGCCGTTTCGGGAAGACTTTCAACAACAATGCAGGGCCATGCAGGACCTGATTGTTCTTTATCAATATGTGCGGGTTTGACTTTGCCTTCGAACTGGACTCTACGAAGATATTAGTGGACTGATTACCATGTACCCCCAATACAAATGCATACCGGGAAGACAAAAACCCTAAGATCACTGATGGTGAAGTTCTAAATATGTATTTATGAGCTACGCAACTAGTCTCCATACGGAAGGCTCTTTTCAAAACCGGAAGTATTCTTCGTCCTGAGATAAATGGTGACAGTCTTTCCACAATCCCCAGAACGCGTGCTAACACGAATTTATATGCTTCGTATTGATCCAACACAAGACTGGCACGACATTCACCAACCAGAAAGCAATGACGAGTTTCAAAGGTTCGTAAACCGATATGTCTTGGGCAAGGACAACAGAGGGAAAAAACACTCAAGGTCTGCGTTTCACTATTGCGTTTCGGGCATCGTCCCGCTATTGCTCACCGTCCTGAAGACAACTATCCCCTTACTCGGACCAAATACCATATTCTCTATTCCGGCTCCGGGAAATGAAGCCTTTCCTATCAGATACTGAAGGAGCATGCTACAGCCTCTAATAGTACCGAAAAATTGGCAGGAGGACGGTGTGCGTTCCATGTACACTCTTAACAAATATATGGACGTATTCGGCCCCTCGAAGGTAAGGCCGTTCATGTCGAACGAAGATAAAGATTATAAGTGTGACCTTGGCCACGTAACACCCATTGATTTCGGGTCTCACTCGTATTAACAGGTGAAACGAAAATCCCGACCAACTAGTACTAAATACTGAGATGACTAGGTTTCGATATCCAACACCAGGGCTACTTTCAACCATTTTAATTCTTGGATATCCACCTCATGGCCGAATAGACAAAGTCCAGAAATAATTGCTTTAATAAACTGCATAGCACGGCTTCCGTATGGGATTGTGACGTAAATGAAACCAAACTTGAGGAAGGTTCCCGCTGATGTATGACATCATGTTGAATTGACCCCGCTGGTAGCTGACCTAATCGATGATTCTGTGAAAGTTAGCCAGTGAGCCAAAGGTATTGTTTAATAGAAAGCTGGAACGACGAGTGATTGAGCATATTATTATACAAAAGAAAGAGGGATCCGATAAATTTGATGTACGAGACACGTTTATATTAGTTTCGAAGTACTTTTCCACAAAAAATCTCGAACATCTTTCACAACAGAAGCAATGCCACTACTATCAGAGAAACTAATTGGATATACCTATGCTATATTGAGGGTCTTACAATGGGTTAGTGCAGCTATTGTCATGGGAATATCGTCCTACTTTATCTCAGTAGGACCACGTCATCAACATGCATTATATTGGGAGATACTTGTGAGTCGGACCGGGTCAACTCACCCTTCACACATATTGAGTTGAGGTTGTAGTCCGTTATATCCGTTGTTATATTCTTTATCGCCTGTGTACTATCTTACCTTCTGTTTCGGAACATGGCAAGATTTACCTGGGCGTACTACGCGATTTTTGCCGTTGACTACGCATTTTCATACCTGTGAGTCAAACTATGGTCCTATATGCTTGCTTATGGGAAAGCTAATCAGCTATATAGGTGGCTGACCACGTTCATATTCGCAGCCCAAGATTACAATCTTAATAATTGCAAGCTCGGTTCACCCCTAGGAGTCTCGTGTGCCATTAAAAAAGCAAACGAGTCTTTTATGTTTATAACATTGTAATGACCACGCTTCTCTATTGCCTTTTGCAGATACATTAGAACTTGACTAACTCATTCCCCCAGTATACTGAGCATATGTCTCACCCTTTTCCTTGGGAGCCCTCTATCTCCATTTTCCAGCTATTCCTTCGATGAACATCAAGTGCAAGATACAAGTCAATCTTCTGCTGTGTCAGAGCACGAGGTTCGGGAAGGCTGCCAGTGATACTATCAGGCTAATACAACATAGTGGAGTTATGATTTTGGCCGCCAAAAATTTCGCATGGAAAAGGAGGCCTCTCTACCCTCAGAAGTGGTCATTCTTATCTTGTTTTAGTCACTTGCTTACATCCATATTCGGAATCAAAGGTCGAAGCTCTTAGCATACTACCTCCCAAGTGGTGGGCAAGATGTGACCAGAAGGCTAGGATGGTCTTCGAAAAACGTCTTATTTTATTAACAGCGAATTCATTCAGAATAAGGATGGCATGCAGAGGAATAAGTGTAGATCCTACCAGATCGCTAAATCCACCAAGCTTTGAGGGAATGGATTCATCATTACTGCATGCTATAGCAAGGCTTCGAATCCTGTTCTGCAGTAGAAACACTATCTGATTTAAATAATGGTCGATACTATCTCTGGAACGATGAAGCTTTTATGAGAGTAGCATCACTAATCAACTTCAAGGTGGCCTTTCGGACTAGATCTGGAATACTATTAGATTCTAAAGATTTTTCTGATACTGCAGATATGGGTCTATAGGATTTGCACATGGTCAAATAAGTAGGTGCCGGTTGAAGAGATGCTTATGAGCTCACGGAAACCTTCCCCTCTAATCTAAAGTTGGTAAAGCTTAAAGAGCTTATGAGGCGATTTACTATATATTTGCGCTATTTGATCTTCAATATCGCCGTGCTAGCCATACTGCATTGGTTTTGAAATTCCCATCGATTGTTCAGCATCCCAGGAGTAACTTTAATTTACGATGATCACAATTATAGTACAATAAAAGTCAAACCCGAATTGCTTATCACCGGTTTACTTAGCTATTTCATGCTCAAATCCGTCCTCATAATTCTTTTTACACATTCGAATACTTTGAGTGATAGCGTAGGACACGTTCGGCAGCACAACTTCTAGACTCCAGATAGAGACTAATATATACCAACCAATAGCCCGCATTTCCACATGCCTTAGGAAGTCTTGCGGACGATTGATAAGTCTCAGACAAGTTGATTAGTAGCCACTCCTCTCCGGAGCCTATGTAGACGGTAGGCTTTCTCAGTCGAGATGCACCTAGCTAAGTTGACGAAAACTTTGACGGCTCGACCGAGAGAATCAGCAAGGGTCCGAGGTGACAGGTAATAGATCCGTCACGAAGTTAGCGATAAAACCATAACCTTTGCTAAGGCAGTAAAGGCTTAGCTGTATGGCCGTCGCCTCCCCATCACCTCAGGACTCGGAAACAGAAAGATAAGGTTCCCTTCAAGCAGCTAGATAAACACAACATCACTAGGGAGGTAGTGCACATTAAATGGCTACAACACTCGTTCAGAGCTATGAAAAAATCGAGATTTATGCAGCAAGAGTATCACGAGCCTTTCGTTATTCACCAATCCTTCCCCTCGGAATATTCAGGATGCTCAAGTTCAGCCAGATCCCCAAAATTATACCAGCCACAAAGATCCTCAATAGAATGAACAGAAGGAAAAATCTCGGTATCGTTGCTCTGAAAGTCACCGTCTGAGCTATGACTTCTCTGATTCAGATCTCCATAGGTGAGTGGAACCGCATCCAGGCTGGGAGTGCTGCTTTTACTTGTAGCACTAGACCGCATTCCTAACACATGCTGTGCGATGGCCTGTATTTCTCGTACGTTCCTAGCTGTCCGCGGCCAAATATCACCCAATGTTGTCAAACAACCGATAGTCATGCGAATCTGATCTCTTGCGGTGGCCAAGTCTCTACCCTTGAACAAAAAGTTGCAGGCAGAGAGAAGTGCCAGGGTTCCTTCGCTGACCATGCAAGTCGTAAAAGGGGTGTGGTGGAATATCCGGATTGGTAGTGCCAAAAGGCGGATTTGTGCTTCCACAGACCGCAAGACTCGTACTGTGTGCATGTTGACGAGCTCGGGTGTAGGTGTATCCAAAGGTGGTTCTCGAGCGCAGCTTGAAATGTCCTCCGCAATGTTAAATTTAAGATCGGAGAACGGCCGGTGCAATCCAATCGTGGCACTAGGGGATTTGTGAGCTCATATGCCCTGTGAATTATCCCGCTGATAGACTTACACATGGATGATCATGTGTGCTTGAAACATAAGTTCATCAACTTCTCCTGTTTTGCTCATGACTTGCTTATGATTCTTTGGTAGCAAAAGCCGCCAGCCATCAAGACAAGAGTCTGCAGTCTGAATAATATGCATTGAGTCTTCCCTTTTTGCAATTTTAGGCGCTGCGCATATCGCCGCTGCCGCGCAGCGCACAGCGCCAGTGAGATAGGCAAAGGATGAAAAATTAATCTCCTGGGTAAATTCGCGACAGTCAAATTCTTGAAGCGTTTTTGGTACGGGTATGTTCTGGTCAAAAGTGAGCTGTGGAAGCCTTGAGACGACCCCCGAAACTCGGTGGGACCGAACGCAGGAAAGAAGTATCATTACTTACTCCCGATTCATATTCTGACTCCTCGCATGGCAAGTCTACCGTAGCGTCAATGCTCGCAACTGTGAAGTTCATGGTTCCGAGGGTTCCGCTGAAGTATCCGTCCACAAGGTAGAGCATCCACCATGTTCTTCTCCAACATTCTTGAAAGACTGGATCGTCGGCCCCATGTGTCGCCGAAAAACTTCGCAAATACATCTGCATTTCGGTGGCGGAACGGGTTGCCTGGTCGATTTCCGCTTTCGCATCAGCTTTATAGTCGTACCAGAATAAAGCCATCGAATATAAAAGTCGGCATTGAACCATGATTGGATCAGACGCTCTAGTTTGAGAAAAGCATTTTTCAACATAATCCTTGAGCGTTATTGACCATTCGTGCGATTTGTAGATATGTCCAATTAAACGCATGACAGCAATGAGTGGTGTGAAGTTGATCTGTTGCCTCAAATCCTCGCAGAGTCGGGTGAAGTGCCGTTGAGGTGGAAGGAACGGATGGAGCCTGTGGAAGCTCTCATAATAGGCGTCGATCAAGGAATCTTTCTCGATATCGCCAACGTCAATCTGGGTCACCGCTGGAGAGTTCATATCAAGCCTGCCCCGGCCAATGCTAGTCTCGTTGAGCAGATCGTAGCCACTAGATGCCTCTGGAAGGAATTGAGGTATCACTTCTGGCCCGTGTGGAATGATCGGGCGTCTTTGCGGGCTCAATGCATCAGCTCCCGGAGTTTTCGTTGCGGCAAGTCGTTTGCGCCGCTCTGCCAAAGCTGCGCGATTCAGGCCACCTCGACGTGACTCAGTGTAGCCGCACTGTTTCCCAAACTCAGCGCAGCGGGCACAGCACGGTCGCTCCCCGTCGCACTTGAGGTGACGCGAGCGACAGGGCAAACAAGCGAGAGTAGAGCGCATAGCTCTGCCATTGCGTGATGCAGAATTCATCGCGAAGAAAAACTCAGAGCACACAATAGAAGATTGATGTTCACAGCAGCGTCATGGCGAGCGGGTACCCGCGTATTCGGGGATTCGGGTACGCGGGGACCCGGAATTCGCTCGGGAACCCGACTTGAGGCTCTGTCTGCCGAGCATTTGACAGCCGATGGCAACTCGCGATGGTTTGTAATACCCAAGAAAACGTGGACGAAAATAGGTATATAAAGTCAAATGCCATTCAATTGATCCAATCATTTATATATCAACTTCACTCAATTGGAACACCTGTCCCTTACTCTACTTGTATACAATTTGAACCAAGAAATCCAACAATGGCCAGAATCATCATCGTTGGTGCCGGCTTTGGCGGCGTCTGGAGTGCGTTTTCAGCCAAGCGCCTGATCAACCTTTCGAAGGAAAAGAAGGATATTGAGATCCTTGTCATCTCTCCCGAGCCAACCCTGGTGATTCGTCCACGACTTTACGAGGCGAATGCCGCAAACATGACCCACGCCCTCGGAGCTTTGTTCGAGAATGCAGGCATCCAGTTCTTCCAAGGCACCGTGAAGACAATCGATCCCGACGCACACACAGTTCATGTCAAATCTGCCTCCGGTCTCGAATCACGTTTTGACTACGACCGCCTTATCCTAGCAGCTGGCAGCTCCGTCGTGAGACCCCGCGCAATTACCGGTATTGACCAGTATGCGTTCGATATCGACTCCCTCAATTCGGCCATCAACCTTGAGACTCATATCGAGAAGCTAGCTTTGCTTCCCCCATCCCCTACCCGCAATACTATTGTTGTGTGCGGTGCCGGTTTCACGGGCCTTGAGATCGTGACGGAGCTGCCCAAGCGCCTTGCGCGCATTCCAAATCATCGTATCGTCCTGATCGACCATTCTAAAGAGGTTGGCCAGCATCTTGGACCTGGACCTCGTCCCGTTATTACGCAGGCCTTGAAGGGTCTCGGGATTGAAGTGAAGCTCGGATCTGCAGTCGCATCAATCGATGCCGACGGTGTGGTTCTTGCATCTGGCGAGAGAATCGAAACCAAGACTGCCATCTGGACTGCTGGGGTGAGGGCGACACCTCTCACACAGCAAATTCCCGGACCTAAGGATGGACTCGGTCGCGTACACGTTGACCAGCACCTTCGTGTTCCATCATCTCGGGATGTTTTTGTCACCGGTGATGCAGCCGTTGCTCTTTCAGATACCGATGGCAACTATACCATGATGTCCTGCCAGCACGCAATTCCGCTTGGCCGTGTGTCAGGCCACAATGCCGCAGCTGATCTTCTTCGCGAACCCTTGTTAGCCTACACTCAGCCTGCGTACGTTTGCTGCCTGGATCTCGGCTCTCATGGTGCAGTTGTCTCTGAAGGCTGGGAAAGAGACGTAAAGATCACGGGAGATATGGCCAAGCGAGTGAAATGCTATATCAATCAGAGTGTGATTTATCCTCCAAGCGATTCTCAGAAGGCACTGGACGAAGCCAAGCCAGTTGAGCTGAATGGGACCCAATTGGTTGAGCACATCCTTCGTGCGGTAGCATAGAATCCAAGAGTACTGCATGTACTACCTGATTGATTGAGATCCAGGTTTTCGAGGGATACCTTTCCCAATAATGAATTCATTCCTCTAACTCTTACCCACTAGTATTCAAAGGAACAACCGGTGAAGGTCAAAATCGGTCTTTTATTTCTCACATGTAATCCTCCTCGCAAAAGTCGTCGAAAATCCAGTTTTCTTCGATCCTGGCTCTTTCCTCCTCTGTTTCAGCGGCGTCGAGAGCGTCTGCTTTCAATTTCCTCTCACATCTCTTTGCTTCATCGTAATGTGCGACGGGCACCCATCCCTCGGCTCCCGCTCCAATCGCTTCGAGACAAGCCGTAAATTGTTCATCTGCTTCAGATTGGGCGCGTACTAATCGTAGACACTCAGTCGACTCGTCATCCGAAAATGAAATTGGACAAGCAGCTTTCGCATCACGGTTCACCTCTGTCCAATTTTTTAACAGGGTAACTAAATCTGCTTTCAAGGTCATATTGTCACCCTCCCAAGGGTCACTTGCATGGTGAAAAAGCCGTCGTCTTAAGGCACTGAAATCATAGGTTAAGGCTTCGTAATGCTCGGGATTCTTTTCTGCTGTCATTTTGACATAATAATACTGGAGCTGCCGCCTGCGTAGCAATTCCACTTGCTCAAACTGCTCAAGCTCTTCCATTTCATCAAAATTGCTCGGTAACGTGGGGATTTGCAGTGATTCTGATATTTCGTCGCCGTAATTCTGTAGACTCTCTGGAATTCCACACTGTAAAAGAAATGGACGAATCGTACTGTGTTGCCAATCAATTAACCCCGTAATCTCTAGGCTATCGGAGACGAATATGTTGTTGGGCTGAAGGTCGGGGTGACGTATAATTGGACGGTGAAGGGCTGGGCAGTTGTGCGGTACCAGGTGAGGTGCAACCTGGAGGTATTTCTCTAGAGCCGTGGTATGTGCGAGGTGCGACTGAGGCTGATGATTGTATATCTCTCGACGAAGACGCTGGAATGTTTGAAGAGGTCGCCCGAATTTCTCAAGATAGGCGATCTCTTTCAAGGCACCGGCAGCAAGAACTGCCGAAGGATCTCTGTCTAATAACAGTTAACTTTCGTGGGCTCTTCATATCTCGATTGTAATCCGAAAGTCACTCACATGGGCCGCGCTCAACTGATAAGTTGAGTCTTTTCCCGTGCCACAATTCCAGCGAAGTATCAGGGCCAATGCAGAGGGGGTGGGTCGATTCGGGGCCTGGGACAAGGACTCGGGCATAATTATCTGGTAATCTTTGCAGAAATAGAGACTTCCGCTCGCTGGGAATTGTAACTCGAATAAACGAGACTCTAGCTGCACGATTCGTGCAACTAATTCTCTTCTCTCCCGTTCAGACAAGGTATACCAAATACCCCCCAGATTTTGCCCTCTCACGGGCTCCATGAAGATGTATTCTGTACCAGCGCGATTATTTGCAACTGCGGAGTAGCCTAAAACCTTCGGCACTGGAATATCATGAGCACGTAAAAATTCTAGCATTGCAACTTCGCTCGCGACCACGAGGAGGTTTGGCTCAGTAGCCGGATAAGGAATCCGTGCAACGAATCGGTAGCCATCTCGCATAGTGATCAAAAAACTTCGGTTGAAGCCCCCCTCCGCAAGTTTTTCGAATCCGATGACATCGACTTCTTCCTGCTGAATTGCTAAGGCAGCAAGGCGCTTAAGTTCAGAAACATTGAAAACACGTCTTCTCTCGCGGTGTCGTAAATCATCATTGTATCTACAGACTTATCAGCGGAGCAGTTCAGTATAATAACTTGCGCAAGCTACAACATACATCCATCGTCCGGACGTATACTCGAACAGGTCACAAGACTCCGGCATTTTCTGGATCGTCGAAATAGGGCGAGCGAAGATCAGTCTTGGAGCGGTAATGATTTTGGGCAGGTAAGGAATATGAGAGATCGCCCCAAATAGACGGTTGGCCATGGCTTCATCAAAAGATACAGGGAACAGTGGGGGTAGGTGATGGCCATGAAAGTGCTTCTAATCCCCCTTGACGAGCGAAGTTCTGGCCACCGTCTCACCTCCAGCAGGGTATCTCTGCTAATGCCAAGACATGGCCGCATGATTAGGCATCAAGTCTTGGCAGGCACCCTTAGAGATAGAGTGTTGAAACAACTTGCAATGAGGGCTACATTGTGTTGGTCTCTCATGATCTGAAAAGCAGGCTACGGGAAACATTGCTTGGTCGAAATGTTCTCTGGATCGGTTGGCGGTCTGTGGTATAGCTAGGAAGGCAAAGTGTTCCATTGCGTACGGTGATACAGTTCATGACGGAGCAGGATCCGGACCAGCTCACTGAGAGGTACTTGCGGAGTATCCTAGGATGAGCGAACTGGAGCCCACCGGCTAGATAAATCTAGCTTCCGAACCCTGCCATATGTATGATTGGCGCCAGAACAGCGAGCCCGGGCTCCACATAATCCAAGAAGAGTTGCATCATGGCCCCAAGCCTAGCCCGCTCCCGTTAGCCTCAGTTTCTTGGTTTCTTAGTTCCTTCGTGCTTCAGAAAATCTACCAATTATTGTACTCCCCATTTATATTATTTCCGTAAGTTTGGACAATGTGGATTTTGGGCCAAATTATCCATGGCATTATCACCAAGAATCTTCCGCACCAAGGTTCACATAGTATCGCCACTCAGACCGAGTCGAAGAAGACTCATCCCGGCAAACTAAAATACTAGCGACCAATAGCTGATCGGGCCTTGATAAGATGCTTCAAGCGGTACCCCTCTTGAAGCTCGTACCGAATGATAATTGTTAGTCAAAACGCTAGTCTATTCAAGGGCATAACTGCATTTAAGTAGTACTTAATAATTGCTCAGAATCCCTCCCATCTAAGTTTATGAAATCACGCAGAATGACCCTTGTGGCTACGCCTGCATTATCTTACAGAATTTGAATGCCTTCCTCCTCCACTCTCTTTATCTTGGCGTCCGAAGGATTCTAATTCCCAATGAATCAGAATTGCGTTGATAATGCATCGTTGAGTTCACTCGAAACCAACTTGCGAGCGAGGCCTGTTGAAACCTCGAATATTCTTCGCTACGAGAGCACTTTCTCCCCTTCTGGCTGCGTACGTACATATGCAGTCCTAAGTACTTGGCTGGTTAAGCTGATAATGCTACTTAGGAATTCCCATATAACGAGGCCTCACACACTTACCAGAACGAACAGTGTTTTACGTCTGCCACAGGCAGTTTTGAAAACATCGATTCTAGTCATGACTGCATAGATGGCAATGATATTGAGGGGGGTTATCCTCTACAAAACTCACATACAATGATACAGCCAGTGCTACAGCCACTTTACCAAACAAGCCTCTCTCACCCCCTTAGCGGCACTGAGATGACCACTTGGCCATCTGGATTTCTCTCGAATCCGACGTCTGAATTGGAAAATGAATCTGTTGGTGCGGTAACATGCCGAAGAAGAGCGCATCAGATAGCAGAAAAGCGATATCGTGAAAATATCGATCTCAAATTCCTACAACTAGGGGAAGTCCTAAGTCCGGATCATCTCTCCCAGGATAATACGAAAATGGTACCGCACCAAATGTTTAAACGAATGAATCGAGCGGCGATCCTCAAACACGCCCACGATGACATATTGACTCTCCGAGCAGAGATAAAATCAATCAAAGGAAAATTTGAGAGCTTGCGGGAGGCAACTTTCCCTGACACATACAAATTCACGCTACGTGACGATTAAAACGGCTTTTGGATATAGCACCTACAAGCTAATAAGATGGATTTCTCCTATTCGAATGATCGCATCTGATTAGCGAATCGCCAGCGATGGTGACTCGACCTCCAGGGGTGTCTTGGGACTCTGCTAATAGGCATATGAAGAGGCAGGCACATTGGCGTCCTCATGACACAACACTTCTCCCTAGTATCCCAGCGTTCCTTGCCTCTCGGTGGAATTCTGTCTTATGTTCTACGCTCGGAATTTGCTTTTGGGAGTGAATGAAGAGAGTGAGAACGGGATCTAAGCGTGCCCCAGTGATTGTTAACAAGCTATCAAGATTCTCTCGTCCCTTTTGGTTTAGCTTCTTGACTCAGCCAGCAGATATATATCGCGAACAATTTCTCACAGATCACTAGGTTATGGTGCTAACGTAGGTACGCGTTTTCCATTCTTTTCTGGGCCTCTTATCTAGTTCTTTTAGTCTTATGCTGCCCATTAGGTGATAGACCACCGTGTACTATTCGCTCGGCTCGCTGCTTGAAACTACGGTATTTCCGGAAGCCGATGTCACTCACATCTACACCCTTCATATTATTGCTTAAATACGAACACCAAAATCGGATAATCAGCAATACCAAAGAGATTCCAAAATATTAACTCTTCTACATCGTCGTATATAACTTAAGTAATTTTATCCTCTACCTAGATGACTAATGCAAATGGGTCACGCGACGTCAAAACACGTCATACAATATTATTGCGGGAATCAACGACAACTCCGGTTCTGATGCACTTCTCAATCCATGCTTGGAATAATCTTCACAAACCCCCGAATAATAATACAGAATGCAATCAAAGGGCAACGGACTGCATGCAGAAGTGGGGTCTTGCTAATCCTGCCTTGAAGCAAAAGTGCTGACACTATTTCCGAAGCTGATAGCTGAGAGTGAGAAACGCTACCTCAGCAAGTACGGAAAGCTACCACGTGGAGGCTTACTGGGTCAGAAATCCAAGGTACTTTTAACATAGTCTATTACGAAATGTGCTAACTAAATAACTGGAAGGAACGGAGCTACTTTGACTCTGGCGATTACGCTCTTTCCGCCGCTGATCGTGTAACCGACAACGGCGCTATTCACACGGGAAAAGCGCATCCACATCGGGAGAGCATTTCGCATCCTTTTGCTCCTATTCCATCCTCTAGCAACGTTAACAAGGAGGCCACCGATGATTTGTATAGGAAAAGACCGAGTCTGGAAGAGAGTCCTCTCCTCCAACAAACCAATAGTGAAGATGCTGAACCCCTCTATAAAAAGGGACAGGATGATTCTGTGTCTCACGAAGCTTGATACCCGAATTTCGCGTTGAAATTAGTTATGAATTTAGGAAAGCATGGAAATTCCTGATCCACAAAAAAGGCCCTTGAGACTGCTGGGTTTATTTACTTTCTTGTACTTTTTCCTCCAATACTGGTAAACGCAAGTACACTAAACTGCAATAGCATTCGCAGGCACGATTTTTGGGTTTATAATCAATCATTGTAGTATACCAAATAATCGGAAGAATGTAAACCGTCAAGTTTCAGCCCAGTTTACTACAACATGCCCAATTAATCAAACGGCAAGGTGTTCCCTCATCCTCATGGATTGAACGCGTATTCATATCATATCTGGTCGCGTATATATCTATTTGAACTGCTGCGGTTTCTTTATGTTGCCTTGTGAAAGATCGTATCTAGAATAAAGACTCGATCTTGGCTAATTTATGTAAAATTGGGGTTCTTTTAGCCGTCTGACGACCTTGACCCGGTGGTATTGACCCTAGATATCATTGATCTTCTTGTGGACCCAAAGCGCTCTTGCTACCCAGTATAATTGATGCTTAGTCTGGTATGCCGAAAGTAAGTAGTTGATAAACCGCATTTTTTCTAGACGGGGCATTGAAGACTCGGTGTTTCAAATTTATTTCAACCTGGCATATTTTCCAAAGGAAAGACAACGTCCTTCGCCCGGAGGTGGAGTTGACTCCCCGCTGGCTTAATCACACGCCGGGTTTCTTAAAGGCGTGGACTTGGCCGGCCTTGGGTTTGTGAGGAGGAATCTGTGTCGGAGTGGAGTTCCAGGAGGACTTGTAGTTTGGATGGCTGGGTCCGGTAGATCTGGTGACTACTGCTACTACAGTTGTGAGTTCTCTTTGCGATTCGTGGAGCGACAGTAGTATTCGAGCTGAGAAATTTACTTTACCCGGATAAAGACGTCGTTATATAGATTGTACATTGTAGTAGTATCATAGGTTAAGAAGCTTTTTTTTTTCTAGATAATATGGACACATCGATTCCGAGAAATCGAATCAGGTTGGCTTGTCACCTGCAGCGGTAGTAGCACACTCGGGATGAGAAGGGGAAAAAGAAAACTCCAATTTGCGCCACCAAGTCATCAGTAAAGGACAAGCGAAAAAGAAACTCCATCCAGCATGCTCAAGCCCTTTTTGTAACCTTAAAAGCACCCCCTCGCTAACTACTTCACCACTTCCCCGGCTTAGTATCCGTACGAGCTCTGGCCGTAAGGCGTGGCACCGTACGGGGTCTGGGCACTGGCTCCCCAGGGAGCGTTTCCATATCCACCCAGGTTGCCATCCATGCCCTCTGGAGGCTCGTAGGCGTCAGGGTCACCAGCACCCATCATCTCGGCATCCTCGGGACCACCAGCATGGCCATTCTCGCCTTCGCCGGTAAGCTCGGAGACGGTGAGTGCGAGCTTCTTCTGCAACACGAAGATTCCCTGCTGGATGATCGTGTCCGGCTCAAGGTTGCCGATACTTTCCACATCCATGTAGAAGATGTTCGGCTCAGCATCGTAATCAAAGGGTTGATCAGGGTTGTTGGCTTGCTCCCAGGCGGCATTTTCAGAGATAGGCCTGACAATTCCTCAAGTCAGCAAAGAGACGCAAATGACGAGTAAGTAGATGAGAACGTACCATTCCTTGATCGGATCCTGCTCATACCAGTAATCTACATGCTTTAGGTTGTTATGAGGGTCGTACTCAAAGCCCACAGCCGCAGTAGGCGCCCACTTTGCATGTTCCTTAGCAGTACCCTTCTTCGCGAGACAAGTCAACTTGATCTCCTGCCCCTTGGCCAACTTGCAAATCAACGGACCCTTGCCCTCGGGATCGGTAATAACGGGATCACCAATGGTATCATTCATCCGCTCACCCTGGACCGTCAGATCGCGCGCATAGACCGACATGATACCACGATCACAGCGCACATGCAGCGACAGCGTCACGCTGCAGCGCACACAGTGATCCTCGCAGTCGCAGTCACGGGTGTAGTCCAGGTCCTGCTCGCAGTTCTTCGCGTTGAGGGGGATCAAGCCTAGACGGTGGGCCAGCATCTCGTCGGGGATGACGGAAGTGTTGTTTTCGATTTCAATGAGATCGAGTGCGACGGTGGGCACCTCGGCGAGAATCACGCGGCGGAGGGAGTTGGCAAAGGCGAGATCAACCGAGCTCAGTCGGAAATCGACACGGTACGGTTCCACCTAGGGAGGTTTATCATGTTAGTTCTCCCGCTTCCCTTTCTGATCTCGAAGCAACGCGCATGTACCTCGCGAACGGTGACTTGCGGCCCCGCGGGCTCGAGGTCCATCTCATAATCCATGCTGTGAAAGCGGGCGCGCTAGTCGCCGCCACCCAGGTCTGAAGCTCGGAATCTATATGCTGTTCATATGATGGTTGAACAGTATAAGGGAGGATTGATACCACTTGGGGGCGAGGTAAGAATGGTGATGGGTGGTTGTGAGAGGCAGGCGAGTGTTGGATTTGTTCGCCGCAGTGAAGATCGCGCGGCTTTGGGCCTTCGGAGGAGCAGTTGGCGCTTTTCCTAATCGGGCGGTCTGCCAGGAGGTATACCGGAGGAAGCACCACTTGCTTCGGTCAGCTCTGAGGCAGTCTTTATTTTCAGCTGGTGGGTTCGATAAGGAATGGGTCAAGTTCCTATTTAGCAGACCTTTTCAGGTTGTTATGCTACCTATTCATTCTCATTGTCCCGGGTGCTTCCTTAACGTTCCAGAGGAATTAGGGGGCGTGTCTAGTCACGTGAACCATGCAACATGATCGGGCCATGCGGCTCGAGAGGGCATCCCTGCAATTAGTTGATTTGCTAAGGCGTAGTATCAATTTTCATTGAACTAAGTGAAGTCGCCCAGGAAGAGTTTTGACTAAGTGATGTATGTCAAGTGTGCTGTAGACTTGATTCCGTCTGTCCTTGAGACAAATCAAACCTGTTCTCTTTCTGAAGAAGCCGGCATATGGAAAGAGAATCAGAGGACCTGAATCTATGCAAGATAGTTGTGTGGACAATATGCTTGGGAGATGATAAATTGAAAGCGGAGAATAAACTTGTAGGTATTTCAGAGATATTGGTATAAAAGTACAGAATGAAGCCTAGGGCCGGAGCGGATTGCCCTCCAGCGCGTATCGAGGAAATGGACGAGGCGCATACACCCAGAGCAGAAACCCCCATGAAAACGAGTTTCATAGGTAGAAATCAGCGAGATAGTGACAATATTCTGCGCTACTGGGCACGTTTGTGTGTAACGCAGCAATCGTTTGGCTGCTGCTTCCAATCAAAACCGAGTCAATAGATACCATTTGCGATTACGTTGAGCACGAATCAATGAAGCGTGAATTGTTTAGGTCAGATTTAACTCTCAGATACTAGCAAGAACTAGTCGAGGGGAATAAATGATATGGTTCACGGCTCTGCAAGTGACTGGCGTGGGTTTATTCTCTTGCCACTTGGGAAAAAGGAGGACCAACACACAGTCTGCAATGTATCTGACCTGATGAAAGCAGAGATCCTCTTCATCTGCTTCACGGCTCCCTTAATATCGGGGCGTCTATCAGGTATGACAGCAACGGAAACGGGATTGAAAATCACCCACGGGGGAAAGTGATCAGGGAAAGCAGCAGCCCGGCCACAGCGGCGCATGCGATGCAATAACAAAATAGGTGGTGGAAGAAGAGGAGCAGTGAGTGGCGAGCAAGAAGAATTCGAGAAAACACAAAGCCACCGTTCTTTTTTGGGGGGTCATGTCGAGTCATCATAGGGATGGTGTAGTCCACTGCTCCGGAGGGTCCCAGAAGGAAAATGTACGAGAACCACTGTAAAGGAGACGATATGTACGAAACGAAAGCCGGTTCGCTATCGCTTCAGAGAGCTGCGGTTGAGGGCTTCCAGCAGCTCGGGTCGATTGGCCAAAGCAGTGGCGGCCTGGGCATAGCTTACCCACTGCCGTTTCCTCTTATGCATCTCTGGCCATTGTGACTCTTCTTTGTCCACGCTGACTTCGAAAAATTGGTAGGAGGCCTTGGGCGCTTGGGCGGTCAACAGGCCGGAGGGGCGCATGTCCGGAATTAAACCGAGGTCGCGAAGGACGGTGCAAATGACACCGGCTTCTTCCCAGGCCTCACGGCAAGCCGCCTGCTGTGCTGTTGACTCATCCGTCTCCCATCCTCCCTTGGGGAGGACCCAGCCTCCGGGACCGGCGGATTGAATCATGAGAACTTTCGTCTTGTCTGCGGAGAGGGGGACGACGCCGGCCACGAGGCGCTCGCCTTTGGAACCATAACCTGCACGAGGAAATGAGGTCAGCAAGAATGTCCGATCATTCCGTATCTTCTAGGAATCGTCGAGAAGACGAGAGCCCATGGCGATTGGCTCCTCGTGCCAAAAGAAACACTCACGTTGGTTTTTGCGCCCGACACGGGACTCCATGGACCGATTTTGTGCCATTGTGAGGGCCGCTTCCTAATCCGTCTCGGCGGTAGTTTCGATTGGCTCGCGGTGAAGCCGTTCGACGGTTCAAGGAGGGTTCAAAAAAAATGAAGAAAAAAAATAAGGGTGGCGAGACCGGAGAGGGATCGAAGGCCACAGAGAAGGAGAAAAGAAAAGAAAAAGGGTAAGGAGCAGAAGTCTCAAGCTCCCGCGGAGCCAGCTGGACTTCGGGGGAGTTTGGGAAAGAAGAAGCTTTCCGGAGTTTGGCGTTTGCGGGTCGGATTTGCTTTTGGGTGACCTGCTGGGTGGGCGGTCGGGGAAAGGGAAATTTTTCTTCCCCTTGGGGCGCGAATGGTCGAGACTGCGGGGGAGAAAAAAAAAAAGGAAAGAGTCAAAAAGGTCACTTGAGGTAAGGGTCGTCAACTCTTAGCTCTTCCCATTCATGCCCGTAGTGGCCGGGTACCTGGAATGAGAAGGAGTACTAAAAGGCATTGTCGGTAGAGAAGAATGAGAGAGATTGAGAGTGGGAAGGACGGAGAAGAAGAAGAGAAGGAAGAGAGTTGGAAATGAGGGTTCGAATGAGAGAAGTGGGAATGGAGGGGCAGGCAGTCCCGGCGGCGCAGTCCGGCGCTGGCAAGCGGACCTGACTAAGAAGGAGAATACCGTTGATTACATGCGTATAACCAGGGTATTAATTTCAGTAGCAATTAGTGGTGGTAGTCGTTGCATTTACTGGGGGGTCTTCTCTTCTCGCTTTCGGTTTAACTATAGTTTAACGTTCACTGGTAGCGGACTACCGGGAACCAGGCTGAGGACTACTGAAAAGTGGTTCTGAGATGGCTGCCTCGGTATTAGAATGATATGGTCCGTTCACTCACTTGCTCTGTCGTTGAATTGAAGTTTCTCCATGATATCAAGTGAGCTCGTTTCTTTTGCCAAAGCAATTATGTAGTTCGTGGCCGCCGTCGAGCTCCCTTATAGTTGGTCATGTGACCGACTCTTGCCAGTCTCACACGACAGACGGGAGTAAGTATTCGGCTCGACTACTGTATTCCTGGCCTATTCGGTGACTATTGACTGGTGTTTTGTAATTACAAATATGCAAAGAATCTATGGTCATCCCATGTTATTATCATCATAGAAATGCAGGAATCCCCCATCATCCAAGACCATTTCCCACGATGGCCGCGAATTCCGGTAGGTATGAGGGGCGGTTCTGCCCTAAAGCATGTCTCGGGTCGACTGGGACCCTCCGCCGGTACCGAGCCCTGAACGGGTGCTGGACAGTGAGCGTCCTGAACGGAATGAGCCAGAGCCAGAGCCAGAACCAGTGCTGAACGCTGCGGAACCGGTCCCTGGGAAACTCGGAGCGATTCGACGACGCCGATTCGGAAAGTTGGCACGCCCATGAGATCATGCAAACTTTGGCTTTCCACCCACGTAAACTCAGTAACTTCGCTCACTAGTTCACTACGAACTAAAATTGAGCTATGTCATACCGTACATAACTGTCATACTCCGACTAGTCCACGACCGGTCGATCCCGATCTCCATAGGTAATCTGTAACTATAAAAGTACACCTCTTTCTAGCTTTTCTACTGAAGAGACATAGACTAAAAAGGATAATTGTAATCCGTTATACATCTCCATAGGAATCAGTTATATTCCTTCTCAATGAATCCATTTGCATAATGGCTCCATTTTCCCTTGTAAATACCGCCAACCCCGCCAACGCTTCATCCAACGTGGGCCATTCTTTTCTCCTTTCAGCTTTCCTTTTCCCCTCTCTCTCTCCCCGCCTTAACCGTCAACGCGGCCTTTTCCCGTTTCTTCCTGCAATAACAACACATACTCTACAGAAAGTCGCCCCTCTTCCCCCCCCCCTGTCTCGCTCCTCCCTCGTGTCACTTCTCTTCTTCGTTCGCCACAATTCCCCGTGGTTTGCCTCCCTGATCCTCACGAGCCCAATTTCTCACTTCCGCCGGGGCCGCCGACCATCGGCAGCCAGTCATTCCGCGGATGGAGCCCGTTGACGCCGAACGCGCGCGACAGCTGTCGCTCTTCCGGCCCCTAGGTACGTCCCACTTGCGCCCCGGCCACGAGCCACTGAGACCGACCCCCGAGTCCCCGTGGCGCGTCCGCGGGTTCTGCGTGGCTACTCGGGTCCAACACTAGGGCGGCGGATCCTCGGGCGTGCAGCAGAGCCGATCGTCTCAGTAAACATCACCAAACCACCTTTTACTAACCGGCCTTGGCCCCCTCCTTTGACAGGCTACCAGCGCAATTCCTGTGGTTACTGTAAATCCGACGATGGCAGTAGGTCTTGTCTCTGGTCCCCTTGCACATCTGACAGTGATCCACCGACCTGCTTTGGGAATGATTGTCTGACACGTCATTTTCTGCCTACCCAGGCGTCTCATATTATACCAGCTCCGTGGTCGTGCGGCCCGAGCACTATGAGGAGCTCATCCATCGAGGCTGGAGACGGTATGCATTTGATTAAAAAAAAAAAAAAAATTCCCCTATGACCGAATTCCATGACTCATAATCATCTAGATCGGGCAAGCTCTACTACAAGCAGAACCTGCAACGATCATGCTGTCCGCATTACACGATGAGGCTGGAGGCAAACGCCTTCCAACCCCGTCGTGACCAGCGCAAGGCCATCAATCGCTGGAACAAGTTCATTCTGGGTCCAGAGTATATCCGCAAGGCGGCTCGGCTCTGCCCACGTTCTCGAGAGTAAGTGGTTCCCGACGTTGCTCAATCACGACGGGGAGGGACTGCCTGTGTCTCACAGCATTATGCAGGGAAAAGCGGCATCGGAAGTGTAACTTTGACCTACAGTCTGCAGTGCACGAGGCCGAGTACAGCAATGTCAAGCGTCCTATCGATCCCGTAACCGAACGCCCGCTGGAGCCGGCGCACAAGTTTGAGGTCAACATCGAGGGCGACTCGGTCTCTCAGGCCAAGTTCGACTTGTTTGTCAAGTACCAGACGACCGTGCACAAAGAGGACGTCTCTCGCTGGAAGACAAAGGATTTTGAAGGGTTTCTGTGCTCTGGCATCAAGCGGACACCCAATCCGATCACCAAGTCGAATGCGTCCGAGAAGAAGCTGGGATCATGGCATCAGTGCTATCGGCTGGATGGCAAGCTCATTGCCGTTGCGGTGCTGGATCTGGTACCAAGCGGAGTGAGCTCGGTCTATATCTTGTAGGTTGCTAGATGTGGTCGTGGTCCATTTCAAGCCGCAATGTATGTAGGCTAACTAATGTCTTGTTTCAGCTACGATCCTGACTACGAGCAGTGGGAATTCGGCAAGCTGAGCGCAATGCGTGAGATTGCCTTTGCCCAGGAAAACAATTATGCATACTACTACATGGGTCTGTGTTTACCACAATGGCGCATCGAACAGTCTCGGTTGACATGACATACAGGATTTTATATTCACAGCTGTGTCAAGATGCGCTACAAGGGCAATTTCAGGCCTCAATACATTCTAGGTGAGAGGCTTTTTCATACCTTTACGTTTCGATTCGTCGTTGAACGAAGCTTTCCTTTGGAACGCCACTAACCGCTGAGCAATAGACCCCGAATCATACGACTGGGACCCGCTCGATGGCGAGCTATCCAAAAAGCTTGACACCCAGCCCTATGTCTCCATGTCCCGAGAGCGGGCCCCGCAAGATGCCAGACCGTTCCCAGATATTGACCCCGACGTGGATGAAACGGAACTGTCCCTCTTCGACATCAATATGCCCGGTGTGTTGACGCTGGAGGAGGTGAAGGCCCTGGACCTGGACCATTGGTATCTGCTGTACCATGGATCATTCGTCCAGATGGACGTAAGTATCTCTTTTATCTCGGACCAAATAATGGCGTCAAGTTCTAATACCAGATAGGATCTTGTTGGCTGGGATAGAATGCCGATGGATAGTCCGCAGTCGGTCAAAGGCATTGTTGCTGAGCTTGCCGCGGTGCTCGGACCGAAACTCGTGAAAGATAGTGCGGTGGTGCTATTTGACTAAGCATAGTATCGTGGAAGAGCATGCGGAGTTGCAATTAGCCTCTTGTTGAGCGAATTCATAATCAGCTCTGGGTGTAATATCAAGGTTCTGCAATAGACCCTATTTTTCAAACTATTTTTCGGTTGTTTCCAGAATACATATGCACCCACTAATCATGGCCGCGTTGTAGATTTTCTGACCATGGTATAATAAAGATTAACCAACCGCATACCTCCCCAGCAGCAAATCTTTCACTTTCCTTCCACTAGCAATACTCTTTGACACGGACGCCCCTTCTCGCCCTTCGAATCCATTGACATAGAACATTCCCGGGACCAACTCCCTCCATTGACCATGATCACCATGCTTTCCACCTTGCTTGATAATAGGCAACCCATCCGGCCAATAATCTCGATGAACCCAAGCTATCATCGGCCGTTCCACACACCCAGACGACCTGTTGACTGCACCGTTCTCCAATGCAAGTTCTTCCCTAACAATATCGTATTTTGGCTGCACCACATCAGGCTGTGCTTGTTGGGGTATAGAGCATGATTGATGAGGGAATGTAACATTCTCGCGTGCATCGCGGAACAAGGCCGCAATGTCATCACCCGAAAACAAGTCTCCCGAAACCACTCTTGTGAGATCGTGCGGTGACGAGTCGTAATCATAGCACACGGTTCGTTCACGGGCAACAGCGATGAAGGGGAGACTCGTTGTGTTCAAACCGGGGACTCGATCGAGGAGATATGCAGGCCACAGAAAGGCGGCCGATGTCCTCCATCGTTCTCCATGGGACTGGAGGAGAAGACTGTCGGGCAGTGCTTGTGAAACAAGGCTTGTAACATGAATCGGCGCGTACGTGATCTTTTCTGGTTCCAAGGGAAGAGGAGGTTCAATCTCAAGCTTTGTTTGGTGAAAAGGTGCCGCGATAATCACATTATCAAACTGTTCCATATGGGACCTTTCAGATCCATCGTCTCCAGTCTGAACCCAGTGTACTCCAAATGTCCCATTGCTGTACCTCGTCACTCGAGTCACCGCAGAATCGTAGTGTAAGGTAACTTCCTCATATTCGTATAGATCACCAAGTAAACCTGTGAAGATCCGATCATGTTGACTCCATCGAAGTTGTTTCTGAGGCTTGTTGTACAAGTCATCGGAGAGTGCGATTTGGCTTCTCAACTGCACAGTCTGACCGGCTTGTGCCTGAGATCCGGCCAGTAGAAGAGGGTTGGTGCATTTTCCGCAGTCGTCTCCTCGTCTTTCCCAGCGATTTGATCTGCCACTCTCCCTTAACGCGACACGGACGTATCCCAAATATTTTCTCCAGAAAGAAAGATCGGCCATATTCCGTCGCAAAAGACGTGCAAGCTCAATCCACGTTATTCCACTCTGGTCTTCGGCCGAACAACTCGCGGAATTCCCTAGAATTTTGTTCATCCAGTACAAAAAGCTTCTTGATTCCGTATTCCAGCCATCATGCGACCAGCTTTCAAGTCGTATGCTTGTAAGGCTACACATTTCCTCGATCAGAGCATCGTCCGCGTCAAAGGTATGGTCGGCCGTGTTCACGGTAGTACCGTGATCGTAGATTTGTATAAAATGGATTCGTCCTCCGAATTGAGGTTCTTTTTCGAAGATGGTTACTTGAGTGAGATCTGGTCGGTTCTTTTCATTCATTAAGAAATACGCGGTGGATATGCCGCCGATGCCGCCTCCTGAAAGCTATCAGCATGATTTCCGAGCAGAGGTGACGATTGTCAATCCTGCATGGTGAATGGATGTTTCCACGCACGACTTACCAATGATGGCAACCCTGTTCGACTGAGATCTCTGAATATCGTTCCCTCTGTCGAGAAGCTTATGCGTTTGTTCCTCGGTAGGCTCCTCGTAGTCAACCCGGGAGCCTATCACACCCCAGTCTTCGGACGATCGTTTGTCATATTCAAAGCGACTGGTATGTGCTCTTCCTGTCGGTACCACGAGCAATATCATGCATATGATACCTAATACCGAAATAGGCGGCAAGCGGTGACGTCCGGTGCTGGTGCGTTTGCGGCATCGAGCCAGCTTGATAGTTCTTGTCATCGCGAAAGTTGAAGCATATTAGGCGAAGACGGAATGCTGGATTAAGTGACGAGTTATATATGTCGTGTCCCCAACGCCTCTGCTCCTTTGTATAATTCTCAACGTGGCCTCTGAAGCTTATCGGATCTCGATTGCAGATTAATGGTCTCGGCAGCCTTGGCATCCGTTCCCTATGACTCAGGACAGATGTATCTGAGACCTTGAAAAGGCCCGTGGTGGCCCAATTTTTGAGGTCAGCCTACACACTGTTGAGCAAGTAGCCGACGCCACTAGGTCCACCTTTTCCCTCTACTATCTAAGAAGTTATCATACGAATGCGCCAACCAACATCATCAGAATCTTTTTAGTATCAGATGATAAGCTTAACGATCTGATGAACCAGTAAGATGTAGCTGGCCGAGTTTTTGACAGATCCACGACAGCTTCATCCTTGATTCGCTCGTGCACTTTCATGTAATGGTTCTCGCAGAGCAAAACCTCAGAGTATATCCAAGCACGATCCCAAAGTCCCTCTTAGAGACATTTCACTCCGATCTTGCTCAGTTCTCTTGCCTGCGGGGGTTCCAACAGCAATGACTATCTAATGAGCCTTGCGGACTATTTGGTAGATGCGAAAGACCTCATACTCTATATCTTTGCCGTCTATGCAGACTGAGCCTCACCAATATGAATACGACAATCGCCGAAGCCGGATCGTATGAAAATATCGCTAGGTTAATATTATGCCTATTTTTCATCTCCTCGAACAAAAAGTATCCTCGGATAGGTATCTGAATTTAGCAATCATTCTGTTCACGATCAATACTCCGTCGTTACAAAGGAAGCCGGATATTTTTCAATTAGTAGATTCGTATAAATCATTTGCCAAATAAAGATGACCTGGGCCATATTGAGCTTGATTTAATCCTACAGAGTGGGTAGACATGGCTTTTTTCTCGACAAGGTCGGCTTATAGTACAGATCCGCTTGTTTCTTAACCCAGATACTCAAGTAAAGGGAATTGATAATGTATTTAGAATTTACATCTTGGCCCATCGCCTGGAACACTACCTTGAGTTTTCATATCCTACGTGCCTTTTTCCTTGCAGCGTAGTGGAATTTGCCTCTTGGCGACTGCGTCGAAAGACTCGATGTTCCATCATGCACCACGATAACCGTAAGTTCCATGTTCTTTATCAAAGCATCCAGTAACTACATAAGACTCTAATAAAGAGACTAAGCGAAACAATCATTCAAAATAGTCTTGGACAATCCAGTATCAATGGCTTTCAAACACATCTTCAACAAGGACACAATCGCTCTTTGTGTACTCGATAACGCACTATTCGCATGACACAAAGATTGTTTCGGTTTGAAAGAAACAATTTCATTCAACAAGAACTATAATCAAAACCTAAAAGACAGCCAAAGACTCTCAATGCTATTGTCAGTAATTAAAAATATCAAGTAACGGAGCATACCATGAAGTATAAATCCTCATTCCACGCCCATCTATACATCCACCATCCCATCAATCGAATATCAATCCTCTTTGACCTATTCACCTCTATACCACCTTGCTCAAGCTATCAATATCAGGTAAACCTCCATACTTCTGCCCATGATGCCATTCACCTACACCCCGCCTTCCTACGAGCTCCTCCTAATCAGACCCCCACCCCCAAACCCCCCAGCAGACGACGGGTACAACCCACACCAAGTGATCACCAACCTTCTCATCCTAGCCATCACCCTCCAGTCCAACCCCGACGAATCCACCTTCACCCAGTGGCGCAACCAACTAAGCACCGACCTCGAGGGTCTAGTAAGTCACGCCCACCTCATCAAACCCGCCGACCTACTCCCCCTCTTCGACCAAGGCATCGCCAGACCCCTCGCACAATTCACACAATTCGACAGCCCACAAACCGGCAACGCAGCGCTCTGCTTCCGTGAGCGTCGCGCACGAATCACCAACACCGCTCGCAGCCTAGCTAACCACTTACAATCAGAACTTCGCTCGAAAGACGCCGTTGTCGATGACCAGAGTCCTGAGATGGTCGAATGGCGCGAGGGTATGCAACGTGAGCGGCGGAGACTAACCCGGGAACGAGCTCTGGAAAGCGCGTCCACGTTGAGGGAGGAAGTTGAAGTTTATGGTATTCCTCGATCGCGGAGAGCCAGGAATCATGCTGCTGCTTCTTCGTTTACTTTTGCTACCGATGGAGATGTGACTATTCACGAGTCGTTGAAGGTTAATCTGTCGATGCTTGCTGCGGCTGTTGGTTGTCTTTCGCTTCATGGGCGAGATGGATCGGATGCGTTTGCGAATGAGGTTAGGAGAACTAAAGTTCCGCCCTTGGATGAGTACTTGTTTTCTAATGAGGATTATCTAGGCACGTTTTGGTCGCGGCTTACACCCCATGAGGAACTGTGTGCGGCCTGCCGGTGTTTGCAGTGCAAGGAGTATTTCTAGGTGCTTGCGGGGATGAAGTTAGTTCCAGGTGAGTCGTATGTTTATCTTCAGAGTTCCTTTGATGCAAGTTGAGCAGTGATCTATCTGTTGAGTCGAAATCGTGGCTAGTCTCATCCAATCTATTGTGTTTTTGATCTACATCCAATTTAGTAGTCTATCGTAGAAAACGCAACATTGTACGCAATACGGCGAAACAGCGTGCAAACTAATAAGATCAGAATACGTAGTCGATTGAAAGATAAATAAAAATAAGGTAAAGTGTACCGCCAAGAATCTCTATCCCTTTTGTCTTGCAGACGCCTCGCCTTTCCTCCCTGTTCGCCATGCATATGCACCAACAGATCAGGGCCGAGGTCAAGACCGGGGTAAAACGCCTTCCCAACGAAGAGCAAACAAGCCCTGACACCACCGATCCCTCGTAAACCGGTCCAAAACGCCAAATATAGATCAGGAACCATCAGAAAGCAAAGTCAAGACGACACCGGGTCCGATGCTACATGACAAAGGAAACGTAGAAATGCATGCAGGTCGGATGACAGGCACAAAGCTCAGGGAAAGCGAGGAGCAGCAATGCCCTATACACCGTCAATTTCCTCATCCTGCCCGTCAATGCCACCTAACAAAGAAGATGGTTTTCGCCCGGACCCATACACCATCTCCATCAGCTTGGCCTTTTGGCGTTCCCGTACTGATCGCAGGTATTCATAGGTTCCCTCCAGCCCCCTAATCTGGCCATCGATAACGGCTTCAACGGGGCCGAGCATACGACCCGATGCATGAGAGCTCCCGGACGCAGATGCACCATCAATGCCGACAAAGCTGACGGAGTCATTCCGACGCACAAGCGGGCTAACCAGCTTCCGTCGCAGCGTCTCCAAATTCACCTTTAACGTGAGCAGACGCCCCCGGTGATCCACGAGAAGGTGCTTATTAGCGACGGTGCGGCTGCGTACGTTCGCGAGAAGTTTCTTGTTTTTCTCGTACTTGCGGACAGCGGCTGCGTCTGGTCCGAGTACACGAGTCCAGAGAGAACTGAGCATTTCGCCCTCGGCGCGCTCTTGGGCGTCCGATTCGCGCACCACGGTGCGTTGGAGGTTGAGGAATTGGCGGTCAATCGACTCGAAGAGGGCGAACAGCGCGGTTGAATGGGATAATTCGCTGTTGATGGACTCTTCTAGCACGGAGAGGAACTCGGTGAAGGTGCGGGTGAGTGTGGCGCGGGTGCGCTGAGCTGAAGTTGGGCCAAAGACAGCCATGACGACGTGACCTAACGTTGTAGTGGTCGCCGTGCTGCCGCCGTCGGGGATTTCCGTCGTTTGTTCTAGGGCACCGAGGCGGGATAGCATGTTGTGCACATTATCGAACATGATAGTGGGTAACGTGCTGGGCGGTTGAGCGGAGAGTGTTTCTAGCTCGCGCTTGGCCCAGTCCATCACGATCAGGATGGAGTCGACATCCGAGTCGACGTTGGCGAAGAACCGTGTTAGCTCGAGAGACAACGACTTGAGCGAGTCGGACAGCTCGTCTAATTGCCGGACGATAATGGGGGCACTAGTCATATTCGTGCCACGCACCGACTCGCTGAGATCCCAGACCGCAACGCCCGTTTCTTGCAAGGTTCCAATCTGTTGGACTCCATTCTCAGAATAGTAAATCAACGGCTCAAACGAGCGCGCAAAGCCCGATAACTTGACCAGGTCGGGGATTGCCTGGGGCAGGCCTGGAAGGAACAGCGCGCGCATGAATGCGACGGAAAGAAGGAAAACTAGGATCGACAAGGTGGTATTAGACTTGGAGCTGGTGATCTTGTCAAACTTGCCGCGCAAGTAGCCAAAGAGGGCAGCAATGGGTTCGCGATGCTGGACCTCGGCGCGTACCGCAAAACGAATGTCTTTTTCAGCCATGCGAACGAGACGTTAGTGTTTCCATGTCCTAGGAAGTCAAGGATTCACCCAGATTCAGACAAGGCCTACAGTTACTCAGATTCTCTGGACCAAACCCGGATCCATCATCTTCGGGACGGTTGCGCGCGGCGCCAGGGCCCTGCGGTGGAACTGGGCTGGGGGATCGTCCGGTCTGTGGGGTACCTCCGCTATGGGGTAGAGGTACATTGGCTGCGATCGTGACGTCGCCATCATCACTGGCCTTCTGCCTCGTCGGACCTTCGACGGCATCTTCAAACTGTGGACTCGGTTCGCGCGACATGGACGGCGACATGCTCACCCCGACTGTAGGCTTGAGTTCCAGGTGGTCTGCATGAAGGTGCGCTTTGCGCCCATAGGGCTGATGGCGGTACCAGCCACTACCTTGAACGTAGTCATGCTGGTGCATACCTGGAGGCGACCAGCGATCTCCCGGGGTAGGATCATCAAGCTCACCATCAGACTCCTCCGACCGAAATCCAGAGTGCTGGGACGGAAGACCGAAAAGTGGGGAGCGATGCGCATTACTGTTATTCTCAAAGTCCTCGAGCGAGGCATCCAGGGACGGATGGTCGTCGAAGACGTTATCTAGCTCGTCCAGCATGGCGGACGGCGTGTATCGGTGTAGGCGCTTCAGAGCGAGGGGTGTTTCTGGAATCGCAGCGACAGCGCGCAGTGGTGCGGTGTCTTGCGATCGCGATCTCGATCACTTGCGACAGAGAAGCGCAAGACGAAGGCTGGGAGGACTATCTGGTCAGATCAGGACGGTTAGTGTAGGCGCCTCGAAGGACTCATGCGCTGATCCTTGATACCGAGAAGAGTGGCCAAGGTTAGGAAGAGAAAGAATGGCTGGGGAGGCAATTAACCCCGCCCCAGTGCGATGCGATCGATCAGGATGCGATGGAATGAGTAACGGTTTCTCTGGCGGGGGTGAGAGGGGGAACACTTTGATGTACACCTCTCTCGGTCTCCTCTGGAATGCGGGTAGCTGGGAAGTTTCCTTGAGATCTGATATTCCGTCTGGGGTATCAGGTCCGGGTCTGATTCAGGCACAATCGAAGCATTTACGATATTTAACAGAACCCAAGAGGCAAAGAAGAAGAGGAGCGCCTCGTCCAAAAATGCGGGAATCGAGGGAACTCCTCACCTGCAGAGGAGGCTGGGCCAATCAGCCTGGGAGGATGGGGGTGTAGCCATTGCCAGGTACGTTGAGGATGTACTCCAGAGGTATACTTCGGCTGGGGTAATGCGGTGGGCGGGACTTGAACGGTACCATCAGTACACCGCCGGGCAGTGCCTGACCGCCATTGGCGCCTGACGAGTCTCTCTCCCCCTTCGCTCCGGAAGGGAGTCGCCATATTGAAACACTGAAACACGGCATTTGCTCGACTCATCCATTGGCATAGCTCAAGTCTTCGGTGCCCACCCCCTGTGAACCTTGTGGTCATCCATGCGAACCCTACCCCTCCGCAGCGGGCGATCGGCCCCTTCAGTACCTGCAGTGCAGTGCATCCACCTACTCTACGCCAGATAAAGAAAAACGTCATAAGGAATTCCAAGACACGAGTAGAAGATGGGAAAGAGGAGAAGTTTTTTCAGATCTATTGCGGCTCAACCATTGAATAGTCTTAAGTAATGTTACATGACCGGTCCTTCGTAGATCCGGAAAATCAGCCCACGGCGCCAACGCAATCCCCCGACGTCTATTGGAATTTCACGAGACGGGGTAACAGAGAACAGAATGAAAGCCCATGTGAGGGTAATAATAGCACATTAGGTCATTTAAGCGGTGGACTCCTTGAGGTAGCTGTAGAGGGAAATGTGTCAGAAAGGAGTTGGGTATCGTCATTGCGGTGGGACAGGGTAACTAACGTGATGAGGTCGTTGCGCTCCTTGGCCTTCTTGAGACCACCGAAGGCCATCTTGGTACCGGGGATGAACTTCTTGGGGTTCTCGAGGTAGGGGAACTGTGGGGGAAAATGGTTAGCGATCTCTCTTGACTGGTCTCAAGGTCAATTTTGACCACAGGTAGAAGTGTACTCACCAGAGTCTCCTCGTTCCAGGTCACACCAGCCTGCTTGTTGGCATCGGTGTAGGAGTAGCCCTCGGAAGAGCCAGTCTTGCGGCCGAACAGACCGTGCAAGTTAGGGCCGACCTTGTGGGCACCACCGGACTCGACGGTGTGGCACTGAGCGCAGCGGGTCTGGAAAAGCTTGGCGCCCTTCGCAGAGTCACCTGGAGTGAAGAGCGAATTAGTCGACTGAGGCATGGAGGTGGTTGCCGGCGGCTGTGGCTGCGCTGGCTCCTGCGACTGCAACTGCACGAGAGCGTCTACCTCGGCCTTTCGTTTTGCGGCGCTGGCAGCGCGCAGCTCGTTGACCTCCTGCACGAAGAGGGGAGTCGCCGCCCAGAAGATGTCCAAGGTGCTCATACTGGCAGGTGCGCAGGAGGGGGCAATTGGTGATTTGGAGAATTGAACGGATGTCAAGTCGAGAGAGTAGGTTGGAGAGAGATTTGGAAGAGCGAGAAATGGAGAGAAGCGCGAAGCACAAGAGGGTGTGCAGAGAGGTTGGACGAAGGTCGCAGGTGAGATGAGTTGAGGTCAAAGGCAACAACATCTTCTTCCTGAATGGAACGCTCAACACCAGGCTCCGTTCATCGACCAGGCAGACACCTTGAATCATAAGGCTGACCAGTTCGCTCACTTTTCCTGGGCCTCGCGCATGCCTCTGAACGATAGCATCATGTTCTCTCTCTCTGTCTCTTTCTGTCTCTCTCTCTCGACTAGCTCACCGATTCAAAAACTCGCTCATTCACCAGGTCCAGGCATTGGCCGAGTGCAAGGGGATAAAAATCTTACCAGGAGTGAACTTAGCAGCTTCCTTGCCCATTTTGAAAGAGTGTGAGAGGAATTGAAGAAGTGTAAGTGAATGTACAGGAGAATTTAGAGAAAAAACGAGGAAAGAGAAGCAAGATTTTCCAACTTTTCCGCCGCGTATTTGTACCGTCGCCCCATTCAGCTCCCGTGATCCGCCAGTCCACCAATCATCGTGCGACTATTTCACCCGACGGGCGCAACCGGGTTCTCCCTCGGTGAGGACGGGCTCTCACGAGCATGCCATCACCAGTGCTAACTTGGTTTATCAAGATGATTTCCTTGCTCCCAAGGCCGATTGCTATCTGCTTACGATGCCGAATGGCCGATTACTGCGATGCTGACGTCCGAGTTATCATACGCCCCTACAACCCAGGCCTACACAGTTGACTTATGTCAGCCGCATGTGTTTTCCCCAATGATCTCATCCTGGGTCACTTCCCCTTCGGCTACAACGGCTCTAGCGGGTGGCTTTTGGCTGTCCAAGAATACGAAACCATCTTAACCAGAGAGACTCGAACACCTCTACGAGACTTGCTCATCTGGTCCAGCCCCTTGACAAAGTGGACAGTAACAAGTGTGGGCGCATCACCCATTCTACCCCTTGAGATCTGGAGTACACTTGGCCTTTCCCCCCGAGACTGGTCCACCGCGGCTGCGAAATACGCCTCGTATCATTCGTTCGTCAGGGGTCCCGCTACAGTCCACAAGTCCACCCACGGTCTTTGATCCGTTTGTGGAACCCGAGGCAGGAAAAACATAGAATTTCATGCTGATATCTGCGGAGGAAACTCGGCACTCTCAGGGAGTCTGGTCTTCCGGGGCTCCGGAAAGGAAACCCTGGGCAGCACCAGCTATCCTGGGGCGAGGCTGTTGTGACTTTGTTGTCCGAGTATGATAAAATGCACCTAGTAGTCAGTCTTGACTAGAACCACTTTATACTTTCGATTACGGGAGCATTTCCATACACAATGCAGCTCGTAGCTCCGGTTAAATCAAAATCTTTTTTTAGCGGAAAAAGGCGAGCCCTGTGACGACACACTCTGCCCAGTCTGCTGCAGGCCGCCTTTCTCGGGACCGTTCCATATCACGTGATATGGAAAAAATCCCGTCCGCAGCGACCAAACAGCAACGACTCCAAACGGGGAGGAAATTGAATGAATATCATACGCAACCAGCGAAAATCCACAAGAATTATCTGTGGTCACACCTTCAATCACCATGTCTCCAGCATCAATTCCCCCCTTCCTCCTTCCCCGAGGCCTCCCCACGGCCCGAACCCTCCGTACCCTCCAGCAAACAACCCAACACACCAGCAACGGACTGTCCACCACAACCCGCCGCTGCTTCTCCGAGACCCGGAGCGTCGCCGCGCGACCCAAGAAGATCACCGACAAATCGCGCGTACTCTCCCAGCCCGACAAATTCCGTCCCCCGTCGCACCCGCAACGTCTCGTGAATCCAGGTCGTGTCGCGCCGACGGGACAACCAGTCAATTATGGCCGGGCGTTGACTGCAGAGGAGCGCGCAGCGCAGGATAAGAAGCAGTATCCGAATATGTTCCCGCCGGAGGGGACGGTGATGTTTAAGTTCCTGACATCGAGGTGGATCCATATCTGGATTGCGATGGTGAGATCCCCCCTCCCCAAACACTCATGGGCTACATGGGACGCGTTGATTGGGAAAATTGAAATGAGTCTAACAAATTTCTTGGTAGGGCACTCTAACCACCCTCGCAACTTTCACCTTTACCACCAACTTCAAAGCAACCTCCCCCTTCGCCCACCTGCTTCCTTCCTGGTCCGACCTCTTTACCCACCCCATCGATACCCTTTCCCAAGCAATGCACGTTTACCGCATGCACGTGCAACACGAGTCCATGCGCGTCCGTGAACAGCGCCACCGTCGTGTCGAAGACGCCGAGAAGCGCCGCCAATACCGTATCGCACATGGTCTGGAGGAGGCGCCTGAGAATCAGGGTTCGGCTCCCGTTCAGGCAGGTGACGATGCGCAGTCGCCCGTTGCGGTGGATGGTGTGGGTGCCACGGCTGCTGGAGATGCTGCGGGTGTTGGTGGCGAGGAGTTCGTTGATTGGGAGGGAAAGAGGAAGCCTGTGAAGAAGTGGCTTGGTATTTGGTGAGACGGTGTATCACCGGTTTGGAAGTGGGGAGGATATAGTCTCGATGGATCTGTTCGGGATAGACTCGGGGTGCCAGGTCCCCCCGGGTCAGAGGTGTATTGTATTGATATTGAAGGATATCGCATTACTAGTTCCTTGTACATTAGATGAGATACTTGCATGTGGAGAGTATTCAAGCTCCATTCTAAACAATTACGACCATGAATTACCTCTCTAGCATCGAGTCGATACCCCAATATCTAAAATCGTATTATTGGAAGAGAAGTCCTTTATTGTATCTAGACATAGACTCATGACACCTCCACGCCCTCCAACCCTTCCAAAACTTCTTCACCGACACCATTCTTCTTCAGCGCCGTCTTGACCATCTCCGCAATGACGCTACGCTTGACACCTCCCCGGCGCGGGCGCCAGACACCAGGAACTTCCTCCTCGCCCGTAGCCGGGTTCAGGACAGCCACGTCCTCGGTAGGCGCCACGGCACCTAGCATGCTCACGTTCTCCGAGTTTGGCACACCCGGCTGAGTCAACCGGGAGGGAGGGTCAACCGTGCGAATCGAAAGTAGCTTCAAGTTACCCGCCTGGGTGTCGCGCGTGATAGAGATCGCCAGTACGGCGTCTGCGACTGCGATTTCCTCTCGGTTGGGATCAAAAATGATATTCTCGCCGACAGAGATAACCAGCAGCGTCACCGGCGGGCGGACGAACGAGGGGCGTGCAGAGTTCTTTGCCCCGGAAGAAGGCGAAGGTCGTGGGTAGAGGTACTCGGCAACAGCCCAGTCGTCATCGAAGAAAGGATCCTCCTCGCCTTGAGACTTGAGCTTGGGAAGTTTCGTAGACAGAAGAGCGAGATGTGTGGTTAGCGAGAGAAGAGGGAGGGGATATGCGAGAGGTTGCGAGAGAAGGAGGACCTGTGATACCGCGATTAGCCATCCACCAAACTTCAGCGCACATCCAAATTTGCAAAACACCACATAGACATACATCGATATACAATCTCCAATGCCACCGCTTATTAATGACCAGCCGCCCCTTAAGCCCGCCGGTCATATCACTCGTCTCATCCGTCCCAACGGCACCGACCAGACTCTCGCGCATCATCTCAGACAAGAACACCGGCAGCGCATCATCATCCCTAAATCCAGGAATCTCAATGGACATCTGCACCCACGATCCATGACCCCCGACAGCAGCAGACCCTTCCTGCTCCATGCGATCCTGACCAACCCCACCATCATTCCGCGCAATCGTCTCGTTCGATAGAATAGTCTTTTCGACCTCAGCCTTGACACCGACAATAGCCTGAGTTCCGTCTGCGAAACCAATGCGTGCGCTACCGTTTGTGCCAGGGAGGATGTTTGTTTCAGCGGTTAAGGGCCGGAATTGCGTTGGTGAGCGGCCATCCGGGCGGATGGGCGTTTTGGGGAGGGAGAGAGAGGTGTAGAGGTAGGAGAGTTCGGCGGGGGAGAGGTGGGGGACTTGGGAGGCCGATGAGGCCTGTCTTTGGTTGGACATGGCCGGGTATATGTAGGATTGTCCGGTTGGTACGGGACAAGAGCCGTGAGGAGAGAATGCGCAGCTCCGCTAGTTGAGCTGCGGGAGTCTTTTTTGATGGAGTTGAAACTCTGTGCAGATAAAGGTGCTTTCTGCGGGACTTTCGAGAAACAAGGTACTGTAGTCAAACCACTAATAAAAAGCGACTTGTGCAATGGAAACCATCCACGGTACAACGGTCGAAAATGTTGAGATATCGGTCTTGAGAAAAAAAAATAAAGGTCATGAAGAGTAGAGCTGCTCGATTGGGAAATCTTGATGGCGCTGCCGGATCATTATTGATCCGAGTATCGGGCCGCATCGACTCTGAGTAGATTGATCGCGAGTTCTAGGTAGAGAGAGGTTCTACCTAACATACCTAACAGGGGGAATTCATTACTAGTTGTCTGGTATAGTAGTATCTTTATTTTCTGGTTCATCATTATTGCACAAAACTCTAGAGCTTGGGTTCCATCGCCGGATCCTTCGATGAGGGGCGCCTGGATTGATATCGAGGAACACGCTCTAGAGAAGGCCCTCTAATGAGAATCACAATCGTTTTGCGCAGTCCTTGTTTTAAGGAGTTATGCATGCCGTGCCCCTACAAATCCACACAACGGCGATCATATCTACGACCAAGTCAAGGCTCATTTCAAATCATCTGTAACGGCTTCCGTGCCCGGGTCTTTATACATAGAAAGAGAAATCAATAGATATGTAGAGGGGATGAATATTATGCATGACAGGTGTATATATAATAGCCCAATCGCCGTAGGAGATATATTACAATCAAATAAAGCCACCAGACCGGAAAATCCCAGCCAGTCTAGTGCATCAGTCGAGGCAGAGCCTAAAAAAGGTATGGTAAAATGGTACAAGAAAGTGAAGGAATGAGCGAGAGATTCCAACTCCGATCGACGACGAGGAATGGAAACGAGAGATGTATAGAGAGCGAGACAGTGAGAGTGAGGGGGTGGCAGAGGGAGGCAAGAGATTGACAAAAGTGGGAAGAGCAGGAGCAGGAGCCAGAGACAATGTACAATGTATGAAAGAAGTATGGACAAAAGGAAAATAGGAAAGACCATGTTCATCGGAAAATGAAGCCGATAGGCAAAATGTGCAATGCAGGATGATGTAGATTGTGGGAGGTGCAGGGAGTGATATATAATGCGACTTGCGCGAGGTGGTATCAAGATGAGCGAAAGTGAAAGAAATGGAAAATGTGCAACGCCAGATGAGGATCGCAAACGAAAGGACTCCAGATAATCCGAAAAAAAGGGGCGAATCAACACAAAGTGGGAGGCCGGATCTATCTATATCAAAAAAAGGCCTTTGGGGGTATGAAAAAAAAAGATAAGAAATGAGGGAGATCAAAAACCATGCTCGCCAACGCAAAGATCAAATCAAATCCGGAAAAAGCCCAACCGTGAGAAAAGATGGAAAAGGAAGATCCCGAAACGAAGAAAACAGCCAATACGCCTGAACTCGGTTTGTGTCCGCTTTTTGGCGTATGCTCTGGCGTAATTTTTGGTGTGTCTCATCTCAACCCGAGTAGGGAAGAGGGAGACAAAGATGCAGATAGACGGTGGATGGTGATGGAGTAGGTATGAAGAGGGTTGATTCGAAATGATTGAGGGTAGGTGTCGAGATGGTTCTCGATTTAAATGTAGTTGGATGCAGAAGGGAAGTGCAAGCTGGTCGCCTTGTTGTTCCACTCGGCCTCTTCGTAAGGAGGAGTGGGCCATTGACGGTTGGAGGATTCGTTACCGGCCTTGGCCACGCTCGGCTTGACGGGAGTCTCAAAGTAGCCATCGGCTCTGGCGGTTGGCGAAGGAGTGGGATAGGGGCTGGGAAGTGCGTGCGAGTCATCGGTGTGTCGTTGGCTCACATCAGGAGCATGGGAAGTCAAGGATTGTGCCTGAGCAAGACGCTTGGCCGCCTTGCTAGCAGAATGCAGGACCTCATCCAGCAGCTCGTCCTCTTCCTCTGGTGTCTCATACCGGTGGACCGGGTGGCTTGTCATCTGCATCGCTCGCCGGGTCCGGCTTGAGATAGGGGCGGGATTACTGGTGGGCATTGACTGCCGCTTCATGACGTTGTCGGAGCTGTTCATGAGGTGGACAGGTATGTTGCCAAGAGTAGACGTATCCAAAGCGTACTTGACGCTCTGGAGAGCCTTGTCCAGCTCACTCAGGTCGGAGTGTGGCTTGGGCTCGCCCGGGTTGTTTCCATCGAGAGCCATTGATGAGCGGTTGGACCAGGGAATGCAGCCAGCATTAGCCTCGACATCATCCACCGCAGGGTTGGCCTGGTTACGTCCAGAGAGTCGGCGCGCACGCTTGCGCAGGTGCGAGAAGAAGCTCTCCTTGGTTGTTGGGGTAGTCTGACCAGAGCCATTGAGCATACGTTCGGCTTCCTGTCGGTGCACATCAGAGTAGTGATTGCCATTCGAGTTGACGGACAATTGACGACCAATTTTCTTGTTGCTCTGGTCGGACTCGGAAGGCTTCAAGGCCTCGCCGTGTGCGACGGTGGCGTTCGCTTGGGCGGTCACGGAGTTGGAGAGAGGAGACACGGGGCGAATTGAAGGTAGAATAGGCATGGGGGCACCGTTGGCCCAGGTTGCCCGTTTGGTGTTGGCGGGGCGGGGCTTGGCTGGTTGGATTTCCGGAACGGTGTGGTAAGTGACAGCAGGAGGTCTAGCAGGGCTATCGCCATCAAGAGTCGGGACGGGACTCTCGGACCGGCCAATCAATGAGCGGCGGAACCACGAAGGCTTGGAGGAAAGAGTGGGGGAGTCGCTGGGAGTGAAAGTGGGTGACTTGAAGCTCCTGTCGGAAGGCTTGCGGCCTAGTAGACGTGAAGAAGTAGAAGACTTGGGCCGCAATGGGTCAACCGCATCGGCAAAGTACTCGTGATTGAGTGCCTGGGTCGAGGTTGGGCGATTCTTGGGATCCCACATAAGACACCAGGTCACGAACTCGGCGAGCGCAGCGGGCCATTGTGGCTGCTGGAGAACCGTATCCATGGAGTGCGGTGCCATCTTGGGGAACGTGAATCCCAGCTTGTGGGCCAGTCGAGAACCTTCGCGCCACTCACCACCGCCAATCTTTGCACCAGATTTGCTGTACCAGTTACCAGGGCTACCCATAATCTCACAAACGCGCCACACCTGGTCGACCTCATTGCCGCCGGGGAACAGCGGCTTGAGCGTAGCGATTTCAACGGCCATGGCGCCAACGGCCCACATATCGACGGGGGCGGAATAGATTCCCGCACGCAGGAGCACTTCAGGAGCCCGATACCAGCGGGTCGAGACGTAGGTGGTGTAGGGCTGTTTGGAGTGCGTCTCACGCGCGAGACCAAAGTCGGCAATCTTCACGGTGTAGGTGGGAGGGGTAGATGGGGGAGTGACGAGGTTGGAGTAGCGGCTGAAGGTAGAGTCATTGGGGGCAGACGTCGATACCAGAATGTTCTCGGGCTTGATGTCGCGGTGGAAGAAGTGGTGGGCGTGAATGTGGTCCAATCCGGACAAGATCTGGTACAGAATGCTCTTGACGTGCTTGCCTTCGAAGTACTTGTGGTCGCGGGCCTTCATCAATTGGTACAGGTTACCATCCATATACTCCATACAGATGTGTAGCTTGCGGGTGAGCGGGTCGAGAAAGATGTCGAGCGCGGGGACGAGATGAGGGTGGACGGGGAGTGTGCGCAGGAAGATGACTTCCCGGAGCTCCAGACATGGGCCTAGAGAGTCGAAAGTCTTCTTCATCGTTTTTATAGCGACCTATAGCATCCAGAGTCAGTTTTCAGGCCTTTTGATTACCCATCCTCAATCATTTGGGTCTCGAATCACAGGGTCCATACCATCGTCCCTCGTCGCGCAATGTGAGCACCGGCAGTCCGTACACGAGCCAAGGCGACGCTGCCGAAGCTACCATCGCCGACCTCTTTCATCACCTGAAATCGCTCTTCCAGGCTGGCCATGGATGCGTGCGTCCCTCGAGAGGGAGGATCGTATGTGACGGTCATAGTGAACGGTATCTCTTCGGATCTGCCAGCAGATGAAGAGAGCAGGTCTTCATTGTTCTTCCAGTCAGCTTTCTGCAAGCTCAAAACAAATAGAAACACACATCATGAGCGACACGTCAGGATGGGGGGCCTCATACATTAGAGGGGGGGGGAGACTTTTAGGGCGGAGATCCCACGACGATACGGGGAGGTAGTCAATTGGGGCCGACGCGCATCGAGGAATGCAGTTATAGCGAGTAAGGAGGCAGCGTTGCTCCCATTAGTTGGAACCGGGACGGTGTGTATTGGGCGGAGTACCGTAGTCGGGATCGGTATGTAAGGAGTGACAGAGTAGTTGGCAAGTTCAGTTGGTAGGTGGGAGGTTGTGGAAAGGAGGAGGGGGAGATATTGTAGAGAGGATTAAAGTCAGAGAAGGAGGAGGGGGAGGGAATGGGTCATAGAATCAGAGACCGGGCACGATGTAATAAAAAGGAATTCTCGCCAGAATAGGAGAAGGCCCGTAGACCCGTACGACCCGTTGAGGGAGAGGGGGGGCAAAGGAGGCAGAAGTGCACTAGGCGTCGAGCGGAGGCCGAGGGAAGGGCCAGTCGAGCCAGTTCGAGCCAACGGAGCCAGTCGAGCCCCTGACGCGGTGACAGCTCTCGAGCTTTCGGACGGGGCCGTGGGGACGGTAAATTAAATCCACGTTAAGACGCAGATCAGTCCACTTGCGGGCTTGAGATTGACCCTGGGTTTCCCGGTCGGGATCGAAGTAGGGATCAAATGGTGCGAGAGTACAGAGACAAACGGGGGATGATGCAGAGAGTATAGGAGTCAAAAGAGAAGAGAAGCGAGATGCTGATAGAAAAGGGCCAACACCAGCACGAGGGAGGAGGAGGGGGAAGAGGAGTTCAGTGGAGGCATCGCGTTAGACATCCATTGATTCTGGATTCGTAAAATATATCCTATAATAATATAATTTTTTAATGAAAAAGTTAGAAAAGAAAAAACTAAAAACTATTAATCCCGCGAGAGAAAACCAAAAAAAGTACGATGGAAGAGGTAATTCTGCGGTAATAATCTACGTGAAGAATTACGGGCCTCATCATGACCCGCCTATTCCTCCGTACAGTGTGTATTATTTGATACCCTCCATTTATGACGGAGTAAAAACACTAAAAACGCTCCTCAAATTCACTAAACCGAAAAGAGAAATCAACCAACAATCTCCAGAACACCAAACTTCCCCGAACGGGCAGCTCCCGCGTCATCCAATGGCACCTTCCGAGTGGATTACGCGGGTTCCTGATACCGACATGATACACTCTCCATACGGGAACGATGAGTACCGAGGAGGTTAATTACAATGATTGCCACCTATTATTGATAGTGGTACCTGTCACGTATGGTAAGGTCCAGCCACTCGTGACTACGCTAGGCATCTTCTGGAGTAGAGTGCTTCAAACGGTCGTTCTGGTTCGTGAGTTAGTGGCGATTAGTTAATGATTTAGTGAAGGCGCTAAAGGGAAAATGGACACGCTCCTTTTTTTGGGAAGCGCAAGAGGGAATCATCAACAAAGTTATTGAACTCGAGCGAGCAGGAAAAGCAAAGTGGTGTGGAAGATAGGCAATTCCGCATGTTAAATCTCCATCCACTACCGAGTAACGGGGAATACATTATTGACCCTCCATGAAGAAACCGTGATCAGTTGATCATAGCCAAATGACCATCGGATGGCTCTCCAAGAACGGTATTGTAATTATCTGCCGCGGGAGTAGAGACACACATACCTGCACGCTCGAGTGCCTAATTCTCAGGGAGGTTGGGCATTCACCCCGTGGCCTGTCGCGGTCGCCCACGCAGCCCTAGGGCCAAGTAGCGGCCTCGGAGTCGCTTCGTTAGTTATTGGTTGTCCCCCCAAAGGAAGAAGGCCTGATGGCCCCGTCGTATGGAAACTTGGTAATTAATACACTTATACAGTGCTGTAGAAAGGAAAAAGGGTTTCAGATGACAGTACAGCCAGCGCCTCGAATGTTGTCGAGGGCCAGTTGGGTCTACAACCCGCGTTGTAGAACTCTATCGTAGTGGGAACTCTACAGCACCACTCCATTCCTACAAGTACCCGTGCCCCTCGAGACCGACTTTCATCACTGAAAGTACGGAGTCCAGAGGTCTCCCACGGCCGAATTGGTAGAATCAAAAGGCGTGACGTTGGATAAACACATCACAATCAAATCTCCCACAGCCCTCTCTCTCACAAACCCCGTATAGCCCCCCGCCCTCCAGCACTGTCCGACACATCATTTTAGCCCAGGGCCTCGACCGCAAGCCGCAGACTCAACTGACCAGGTGATGACTGCGTTGATATGTACTCCCGTACTCCGTGCCTACTCCGTACAGATCCGCAGGGAGCATCCTATTTGGCGCAAATGTGCCTTATGTCATGTCCTACGTTGAATCCGGGTTTCCGAAACTGGTTCTGGAACCGGCTGTAATATGAGAGCAGCTGTTCAATAAACATCAACAACTACGGCGTCATGGTCAATATCATACAGGATGCAGTATGTTTCTTCCTTCCTCGCATCGGAAAACCTGCATCATCTCCCCCGTCTCACCAATTACGACGATTGTTGACACTCGTTGACCGGGCATCCAGCACGTCTCGCCACCAGATCTTCCCTTTTTTGGATCGCAAGATTTGAGGGGGGTGAAGCGGAAATAGTGGCCTTTAGTTCCTCTCGTTTTTTTTTTTTTTTTTTTTTTTTTTTTTTTTTTTTAATTTTTTGAAATAGACAGAGCTCCGACTGGTCCGAATATCCACCAATGATGATTCATAGTCGGTTTGAAGCAGATACAATCAAAGCTCGGTACTACTCCATAGTTCCATAGTTACAGGAGGACTTTTTTTGACTTTGTGACGGGACAGAAGCCCAGAGGAGACAAAGTCGAGGCACATTAGGTTCGGATAGACGGAGGCGTTCGCATAGACCTGGGGGAGAGTAAGCTTAAGCCGGCCAGTACCATGGGTCCGGGCAGTGCATCCCACCTGCATTTATTTTGCTAGCGGTTGTTATTGGCAGCCTTGTTTATTGATTGTGGTCTGATGCATTCGTTGACATGCATAGAGACAGTGTGAGTGTATCACGACACTCGTTGAGTCTGGATTCCAAATCATGTTACCCTCCCCTCCTCCCTCTGCCTTATTGGCGCGGGGGAGAAAATGGAAAGCAGCCAACCCCCGACAGGCTGGTTAATACAAATTGGACACACCGATGCGACACCCCGACCTGGAAACGGATGGCGCGACAGAATCAACTTGACTGAGATTGGCGGTCTTCCGAGACCCGACTCAGAAAAGTCCTTTCCCCTCCGCCCTTGATTTGATTCGATGTGGCTCACGTTAGTCGGGGTTTCTTTCTTTGTTGTGACCGTTTTTGATCGTTATACGAAACTGGCCCCCTCTCGCTTGTGTGCCTCCGTCGGGACTAGTAATACGGCCGTTGATAAAATCTCTCAATATCTCGGAAACCCCAGTTTCCCGCGTGTCCGAAGAATCATGAGGAGATGAACAGAAACACCGATCTAGGTCCAATCATAATCCCGGTGACCAAACGGCCAGTTCGACGGATGGGCGGCTAGGGACAAAGAGATGACACAAAAAAAAGGTCATTTTCAGTATCCCAATATCGCCAGAGATCAACACACACCCGTCTCGAGATTTACAGGGCACATACCCTTTCCGCGAATCCGTTACTTTGGCGCTGCTCCACTTGCCAGGAACCCGAGAACGCAGACGTGGGTGGACGATCACCGCAGCCCAATCTACCTGTCAGGTAACTCCGGTTATGGATGGTCCATTATGAAGCGTATGAACCATCTGAATTGATACGTAACGACCCCTTCAGGTCAAGTCATTCGTACATTATTAATCCGATGCACAACGTACCGAGAATACAAATGGGCCAGGATTAGACAATGACTGGTGGATGGTAATTTCAAATGGCATAAACCAATCTCCTGTATATGTGGATATGTCTACAGATAATCCTCAATCTACCGTGTATAAGCCGTCGAAGATTATACATCACAATAAGTACGGGGTGCATACTTATCAACTCCGTAGACCCCCATCTATCACCCCATTATTCTCGCAAGGTGATTATTACGTGCAGCCCAGATGTACTGAAAGAATGCACCTGTCAGACCAGACGAACCCTGGGGCAGCCGTTTGGCCCGCAGGGATCCTTCCAGGCCGCAAATCACGTCTCGGTCAGGATGCTGGGCTGCTTCGTCCACTCCACGGGTTGACTCCTCTCATGTCACCCCCTCCACTATACCGCATCCATCAAGCTCACCGGTATCCCTCGCGAGTCGCAACATGTACACTATGGGCATTGAGAATGAGATACATGAAACAGTGGAACGGGGATCTGCTTCCCGGGCGCTCGCTTCCACCGATCTCTGCAGAAAGTACGGAATTGACCACGGGTCACAGTCCACAGTCCACAGCCCAGTCCCTGCGGTAGGCTCCCAAGGGCCGTACCGACGCCATACGGAGTCGTCCCAGCGATGAATTACCAGTAGTCCGGTGGGCCAGGACCCGGCGTGGGTTGACTTGAAAAAGCAGAAGACAAAGCAGAATCCGGCGAATACACAAAACGAAAAAAAAAAAAAACAATCGTGAGACCTTGTCTCCACCGCTGTTGAATAGCGTAATGCGCTTAAGCAAGAAAAGAGAAGCTTGGGCACCCGCACAGTAGCCAGTGCAGACCATTCCAATCACCATCATCATGGAGCAGCACCGCCAATCCTCCAGTCTCCATCCTCGCCACGCCATCAAAACCACCATCCAAGACCTCTAGCACTCACCGCGTCTCCCCAAATACCGTCAACCCCCTCTCTACACCGCGTATCTGACTAAACGCCTCCACAGTCATGAGTGGGCGGTTGTGGAGCGAAGTCGGCACTTCGAGACTGAAGATGCTCGTCACTGGTGATTCTCCCCAACGCGCAGTACCCATGGCCCTGACAAATTCGCCAATTATCGGACCCAGGAGATCATAGTGCGATGGATCCCGTTTACACGCCCACAAAACCATTGGGTGGACTCCAAAAGAAGTGGGGAGGGCCTTTAGTGACCAGTTCGTCGGGTTCCAGAGTGGACACTGATTCACCGCGCCCTCCAAGCATCGTCGTCGCTGCTCCACTGCAGTCGCGTTTATTGATGGATGACCTCACAGATGTGGGTTTAGCGTCACGCCGTGCTCTCGGGGAGGGCGGATGCTCCACTTGTGTGGGCTTCGTCCAGGCCCGTCCTTGTCGTACTCAAGAGCTCTGTCTCTCTCTCTCTCTTAATCCCTCGAGCACAGGGTCGGGGAAGAAAGGATCGCTCTCAATCCCCTTTGCCACTCAGGACCCAGCGCTATGACAGCACTATGTGTACCGTTTCCAAAGTGCCGGGAGACGCCGGCGTGTTTTGAGCTTCCTGGGGCCTTCGAGAAGGTCGTGCTGGGGCCTTTCTATCACGAACGCAAAAAACGGCACACATCTAACTTATGATTCGGTCATTGACTTCTCCTGGTCACTGGGCAACGCTCTTGTAGGACTTTGATGCTTCAAACATTGCCATTCGTTTCTACTACCCTACCATTGCGTTGCCGTTGCCACCGCCGCGCCCTTGGTCAGAAAGGTAAACTTTTTGCGATCACTTGTCCACTGCCTCAAACAATTCATCCAAGAATAGCCTTCAACGGGGCGATGCAGACTCACATGGTGGCCCTGTAGCCCTACGCTATAGCTGTTACCTCGCGTTCGCCATTATTGTTACTATTTTTTTCTCGGCTTCTACTTCTAGGGGCTCCGCTTGACCCTCTATCTCGCCAAAATCCGTGTCTATCCCTCGGCTTCCCCCAAAAATGAATTAAAACTAAAGACCCTGTTGATTTTAACAATATGTTAACTGAGATTAAATCAATGGAGGCAGCAACTCACTGCCTCGACCCACAACTGACGCCGAACATAACAAAGCGTTACCAATCACCCTTCCCCTATTTTCACCCATAACCTGGGATGCTAGGAGCATCAGCGCACGAATCAGGAAAAGAACTCCAACGTCAAACCCAAAGTTTCCCCCGTCTCTCCCGCTAATCGACCCGATCGACCGTCGCTCATCCCATGATCCCATCTCCCCCGAACTCTACGGGAAACAACCTCGCTGCCACCCTGGCTCCTGGGACTTACCCGTTTCTGTAACCAGCCTCCGCGCCAAGTTGTGGACAAAGTCGCTCTCTCATCAATCTAACCTGACATGCTAGCTATCTACCAGTACTCCGTAGACTTGCACCAAAAAGTCCTGTGGAACAGCGCCGGGTGCGGTCCGCGGGTCTCCACTACCACTGCGGAACCGACTAATGAGGAGCTCCTATTCGACGCTTAGGCGTTTCTGGAAGGTCAGAACCGTGGCTTCTATGGAGAATGACGAGGATGCGCGGCCCCCCCTTCTTCGTCTTCCCTCCTAACGATACCCGGAAATTAGATCTGTACACCCTAATTTAAACACTCCTTTTTTCCTGTCAGTGCCGAGGGAGGTCTGACCGTCAACTTGGACCGGCTTAGCTTAGTTTATTTCCGACAAGATGTGCAACTTAGCTTGTCGTAGGTTTTTGTTTAGGTTGGTTGTGAGAGAAAATAAGGAGGGTCCCGCCCCCTGATGAAGTTTCTGGAAGGGTTTGGCGGGCAAGGTGGGAGCCAATCGGGGATTTATTAGATATGGATGTATGGGTCAAGGAGAGAGAGAAAGGAGTGCTGTTGTGGGTTAGATTCTGCTTTGTTTTGAGGTATTTTGGGATGAATGATTGTGTGTTATTGTTTGTGAATGACTTGCAGAAAAGGAGTCATAACCGGAATGGGGACGGAGTAGTCCTTTATTCATTGGATATCGAGATAATAGGGGGATAACAATGGTCTATCTCTTTTCTAAATTGGTGTCAGTAGGGCGAAATGGTTAATGGGGAGGAGATGATGTTATTCACAGCTATATTTGTGCTTTCCTTGTGTAAAGCTCCCTTTGTTTATTTGTTAATAGACTGAGCTGCTTATACGAGTACGGAGTAAAATTTTGATAATTGTCAACTGGATAAATAACCTTCCATGAGCAGAGGGAAAGAAGATTGCTTCGCTGCTCTAGTAGGTATTGTAAACTTCCATGCTATGTTATCATGCAAGAAACATGAAAGCCCCCTTCAACCCGCTTTCTAGTGGTGCGCTCTGAGTATGCATTCATGGGTAGGCTACGGAGTATGGCTACATCAAAAGCTGAGCTTAGTTAGCTTCTAGAAATTTCAAATGTATGAGAAAGATGTCCATCTGTTCTCGTCAACCACTACTCCTTCACTAGATATACCACACTTCTCTCACTCTGGTTCAATGTATAGTATACAATATGCGGCTCGCGGGTTTGGAGATGGTTATGTTGTCTAGGTTAAGGACCAAAATTTAAAGGCCAAGACGGTATAACAGAATAGTAAAGCATACCTAGCTTTTCTAATCATATTTGATGTTCTTGTAATCCGATTCAATTTATCACTCCTACATACAATATACGTTCTGAGTCTAGTTTCGTGCCTCTTAGGTTCGGTCTGAATCAACTTTCTAGCCCACAAAGAGTAGTATCATAATAATTCCGCGGGGCTATTCAACTGCTTGGTATGAGGATCACATTGGAATAATACGATAATTTCTTCATTTACGACAAATACCGCAGTTGATTCCGTCCCAGGTCAGAAAAACGACAAGTTCCTCTCCGTATCTACATCGCTACAGTTCATGGTGAATCACAGTCCCTCACTTGTGTAAGTCTTACCATACGACCATACGGCCATCACCTGCCTCGTAGATAGAATCAACCCCTAGATAAGACTCTCGATTCCTCTTGCTTCACACGATCTGCGGGGTTCATTTTCAGGTACTTTCCTTCCGCGCAAACAGTCGCCGAAGGTGAAGTACCTTCCTTTCCTGCACGGTCTTTCACCCTCAACGCCGTTCGACCCCAATCGCTCGGTCCTCGCCAAAGAATTCTTAAACCTTTCATTTCAAAGATTTGCATGCTATCCAGAATCGAGTCATGGGCAAAATGAGAAAGAAAATCCGAAATTTCGCGCATGGCTGGGTGCCGCCTGGCGAACCAAAGAGAAAGGTCGGAGAAGCGTATGTGCTCTTCGGCTTCTGCTTTTTGGAATGTTCGGCTAACGTATAGATCCGATACAGAAAAGAGTCAAGCCGTCTTCCGGATACGTCAGTATATGTCGGGTCCTATGTTCGTGGCTATACCGATGGCTAACCCATTCCAGCATCACCTGTACCCTCCGCGAGAGCGATCTGCCACGCGCAAGACTCCGCCATTCTGCACCGCAACGCCTCGAGTCGGCAGCTCATCACAATGGGATGGATGTGACTAACAACCAGCAGGCAGCTCGGGGTGACGATTGCTGTACTCAGTCGCGCCCCGAGCTTCATTGCGTGTCTTGCAACGAAGTCCAGCCAATCGATGGGCTCGCCCACGCCCAGCGTCGATATGACCAGCTGGTTAGTTGATTATTTGACTTGATTTTGGTCAGGTTCCAGCTTGCTGATACGCAGATCGTGGGATCCCACAGATTTGCCCTCCATGCCAGAACAATCCGCAGCTTGATGAGCGAGACAAAGCTCCCGCCGGACAACTCCCGCGGGATGTGGCCAAGCTGCCGTCGGAACAAGTCACAGGAGAGGTCAGTCTTGTTTTTCTGTTCAAGCTATCGAGGTGCTCCTTTGTGGTAGGTGATTGACATTACTTGCGCTCTTCTAGAAATCCGGATTCCCAATCGCTGCTACCGAGACCAGCGGCATGGCTGAACATGGGACCATGAAAGAGTTCAGTCTGGCAAAGAAAGAGGAGACATCGAAGCCTCAGGGTCGATATGTCTGGAAGCGAGCTGAGGACGTATGTTTCGCCCTTTTCGACAGGAATAAACTAAGTTATCCCATCGCTAATGACTCAACTTTTCAAGCAGTGGATGCGACGCTCAGCTTCCAATCCAAGCACCCAAAGCTGGTCCAATGATCAGCATGGAGTGGAAGATATGTCCTTCGATGATCTTTTTGAAGATGAGGAGGATACGAATATGGCGTGGACAAGTTCCTATTAGCAGTGATTTGCCAACGTTCCGCTGTCCATACGCGATCGTCCGACAAAGACGGTGATGGACACGAGTGGACATCATCATCTGCGGAGGATTATGGTGCTGAGAAAAAAAGGTCTTTTGCATTTCCTCTCTCATTCGGCAGTCTCATATCTACATAGGAGATACGAAATATCATGAACATGAATCATTTTGCCTTTCGCGTGGTGGAGCCTACTCTGCATATCTCGACATCATGAGAAATTGATTGATTTCTTGCGTAACGGAGTGATGAAAATTTTGGATCTCATGCTAGTCACAAACCCATCTTGAATAGTCGATTCTTATTCGGTGGCATCTTGCAGGGGCGCTCCTTGCGGGCACCCTGGACATCCATGGATATGATATCGGTGGTTGACCCCCACTCGAGCCGGCGGTTCACCGGGTTTTGTGTACCTTTAGCTTCTTTTGTGCTACTACAAATAGATATGTACGAGGAGTCCAAGTGAGACAGTCATCAGTGATGTTTTATTTGAATTTGGTTGCTTCCTCTGTATTTAGAGTGGTCTCAAGAAAGTACACGATGATGCCAAAAATATATCTTGGCCCCGCGCTAACGCCGCCCGACCATTTTGAACCTGTGGAATGATGACATGATGCTGCACCGTTAACTAACTAATAGCCACACATAGACGGCAAGGGGCCAGCCTGGATCATCACCGGGTCTTCGCTGATTGGGCGCTACTCAACCCACCGGAGCGAAGCCGACTGCTCATCTGCAGGATGGCTGTCATGACACGCTTTCCACGCGACTGGCGAGCTGAAACGTGGTCGCCCGCGATGCTGATAGGCATGGAAGAATGCATCGGAATCGAGACGGCCATGGCATGGAAAAAGGGAGCCTGTCGATGGGAGGATGCCGATCATGACGGGGTCAACCAGACAAGCAAAGGACGAGCGGACCCCGTCTTGTGGCACGCGAATAGATTAAATGTGCGCCACATTTCAACACCGTTAACCACGAGACAAGATCGTACCCTGGCGGTGACGTCGAGTCTTTCTTCGCCATGTTCTGGTTTCCCTCCCTCGTAGTCTGCCAGTGTGAAAAAGGGAGAATAGTAGTTAAGGATACTGTCCTAGTTAATAGTTATTATCCATCTTCTTAGTCAACCATCAGCCAAACCTGTGACGCCAGACGTGTTGGAGATCGCCACCCCGTTTCCCCACAGCCCCTCCAGCGCTGACAATTTCTCTGCCTGACAACCTCGTTCGGGCGTCATTTTGTTTCTCTTCTGTTTTCACTCCGTCCAGCTCCCGTGCCTCTCAACTGTCTCTGCTATTTGTGGCCTTTGTCGTGACTCTCAGCGCATGCGACGTTCTTGCTCGGTGCGCAGAGACTCCCCCACTGCTCTCCCCACTTCGTGCCCAAGGATCTGAATTGTCCCTCCGATGGCTTATGATGGGTACAATTCCTCGGCCAACCCCTATCAACCGGGCAACATGAATGTGAACCTGAACCCAGACCCGAACGATCCTCACGGGTACTCACCCACGCCCCCATACCCGTCGAGCAGCTACGAGCCCGACCGTCTGAGTATGCCTCAGCCTCGGATGCCCCCGCTCAGCTCGTCCCCTCAGAGCATGGATTCAGAAACGCCTCGACCGCAGAATGTCGGACCGGGTCATGGGTATATCAACGATGCTGTTCACTCGGCAGTGCACCATGCAAACCCCTCCGAATACTTATCCCCCGAGGTCCTCAGTCAGATCACCGCAACGGTCATCCAGCAGCTGAAAGCCACGGGCCTTGGTAATATGCAGGGTTCTGGTTCCTCCGGTGCTCCGCCGCCTCGATCACAGTCGCAGCAGCCTTCATGGTCCACTGGCCCAGATTTGGCGCCTCGTCCGCACTCGGAGTCGCCTCCTAATTTATCACAGCGATTTGACTCTGTGCCGCAGGGCAATCCCATGTCCAACAGCTTCGAATCTACACAGCCATATTCCGCTCCTTCGGTACCACTGTCCTCGGATTATTCGAGCGATACTCGCGATATGCGCCCAACTCCCAAGCCGTCATCAAATGCGCCGAGCAGTAGACGTGGATCGGTGTCCAGCCATGGGAGTCAGAAAATGGAACGGCCGAAACCGCCATCGAGAGACGCGACGGTTGTGGAGATGACTACACTAGAGAAGATCTGGGGCAAATTGTTTGTGGATGGGAAGCCAACGAAAAGGCTCGGCCAATTTTTGCGGGGAATTGCAATGCATTTGGTAAATACTGAATCCTCGGTCTGGTGCGGCAGCACGATCAGAGCGCTAACTATTCGATTAGATTGAAGATTACCCACCGGGAAATACCATCGTGATCGTTCCGGATAAGCTGCAAAAGTTCTATGCCGATACCGATGTTTCGTGGGACCCTTATCCGTGGCAAGGTTAGCTCAATCCGAATTACCGTCTTGCTTCGGTCTTGTCATATCTAACATGGCTGTCACCAGATATCTTCGACGATCGAACATCCTCAATTTCCAGGCTATTCCGGGAAATCAAAGCTCAGCACCATTTGGTCCAGCTTGACGATCTTAAGGAACGACCTGATATCCCCGGTCTAACACCCAAAGGCTTCGAAACATGGGCTACGATCATGATCCAAGCTCACCCGGAGCGCGAATACGAGCGTCTGCAAAAGGCAGTGCTGAATATGCCTATCAGCAACCCGGACGATAAGAAGGAGCGTTTCCCTAAAGAGATTCCACGCAGGCTGTTCCCCGAGGTGGCAGACCTGAAGTTGAGAGAAGAAGTTGAAGAGTATATCATGAAGCACTGTGGCGTTGATTTGCCCCGTATAACGGAGGAGGAGCGTTCACAGGCAAATCGCTCAAAGAAACCTGCACCGTCTCACATTGACACCTCTCAACCTGCACCTTCCACGTCGGGGTCGACGGACGGGTCTCGATCATACGAACGGGGTCGACCCCCTCCCTCAGCTTCGTCTTCCTCCGCCGTGATCGACGATGAAGACGAACCCATACCACCTCAACCCATTGAGCGTGAGAGAAAACCTTATACGGCTCAACCGGGTGTAGGAAAGAAGTACGAAGGAGCAGGCCAATCACGCAGTCGTACGGAATCATTTTCGTCCGGCCGACCACTAGACGTACCAAGCTCATCCACAAGCCACCGACACTCGACTGCGACTGCAGACAAATTCAATGCCGACTCGCTCTACTCTGGAAGATCCGGCTCGAGACACGGGCACCCACGGCGGCGGTACTCGAGAGGATCGCGTAGCTCGTCGCGTGGCATGAGCCATGATTACAGACACTCGGAAAGTGATCTGCTTGGCCGCGATGCTGCTCCTCCCCGATATGGTGGTGTGTCCACCGGGGATTTGTACACGGACTCACCTACCTCGGTTATGCCTGATGAGGACATTCGGAGGTATAGAGACCACCATCGCGGTGGAAGTCGTGCTAGCGAGGATGATTACTACCGTGGCATGCTGGGAGGACAGGGTGGTGGACCTGTGCATGAGCACAAGCGCTATCACTAAGTGATACGATTTTGTCCGTTCGTTTTAATCACGAACCTTGTCTCTTGTGGGCCTCCGTTGCTGGCTGTCTCGCTGTTTTCATACCTCTTCCGGCTTGGCGTTATTCGTGTGGCATGAATCTATCCCCCGATCTGGGGTTGGCGATGATGACTGACGAACACTGTCTGATGATTTTTGGATCTTTTTGTTGTCATATTATGTCTGCTATATATATCTCTTCTGTTTTCATGTATGTTCTATTTCATGTCTCAAAAGCGCGTTCATATCCCGTCCTGTATTTAGCGATAAGTTTCGCCTTGCTTTTGATTTGGGAATATAATGCTCAACTGATGAAAGTTCGATATCACACATCCAACTCGCCTTATACCTTTATTCACTCTCAGCGTCATCCGTAGCTAGCTTTCTCTTCCGCCCAAGATCACGCATAATATTAACCCCATCTTCCTTACAAACCACCGCCTCTTTAGCCCTCTTCCGCTCCTCCCTCTCATATCGTTTCTGTATATGTCGATAATCTCTCTCTTCCCGCTCAGCCCGCCTTTTCACCCTCCGCTCAGCCCTTTGCCGATCCTCAATAGCCTTGAGATCCCCCCTCTCCGCCTCCTCCCGCAACTGCTCGATTTCCTCATCGGACAGAACCCACCTCACGGCGAGAACTTCGACTAGAAACCGCAATCGCTCATCAACAAATTGCATCTCGGCATTCGTGTCTCGGATAACCGTGAACCGTTCTAGATTCAGTTGCATCGTAGATCGGAACCGGGATAGAGTGCCCTTGACTCTCACCGTCGTGCCGGGTCGTAGACAGGTAATGTCGAGGAGTGTGCGGTCTGTAGCAGAGACGTGCTCCGTTTGATTGACCTGTGCTTTTGTGCCAGGGGTTTGTCCATTTGCACCCAAGGACGACTGGACACTGGGCCCGGGATTTGAGATACCCGAGATCTGGGTGCTGTCTTTCTGTATCTTGTCCCTTTCTTTGGGGTCAGATTGGAGGACGCAGACGTCTATTGTGGCACCGCTGCTATCGTCCAGCGTCAGGATGGTGCGTTTGGTAATTTCTGTTCGGGCTACGACCACACCGACAAGGCTGACGAAGCGGATTGGGTAGTTTTTATAGAAGAAGATTGTTTGGCCTGGAGGATATTAGCAATGATCCATGTAGAATGTGTAATAATCGTGGGGAAGCACGCGAAGAACAAGTAACAACAGCGTCATTCGTAACAAGAAAGACCCCGCTAAGATCTGTCCTGGGCCTCGGGAGAGGCTATCTGCAGACAAGGGTGTGCATAAAGAAGGTCCCAACGCACTAGTTGGGCATAAAACCACAAGAAAAAGGAAGAAAAAAGCAAATACGCTTGAAGAAGGAAAAGGAAGAGTGGGTCCTTGCCTTCAAAATTCCGTGGTCTCTGTAGTTGATGGACATCGGCGGCCGCCAACTTCACCCAGGTGAAGTGTGTTGGCGATGCCTTGAAGCAGAACGCGGGGTAGAAGACAGGGTCCGCATCGTGGGATGTCGCCATCGGTTCATTTTATCGTTGATAATAAGGCGTTCATGTAAATGTTCGGCTTCGTATGAGAGGGAACCAGAGTTTAAAGAGTTCCTGACGATGCCGTGGACGAGGATGCGCGGTGTCACGTGGGGCTGAGTATATTATCCGACGCGTCTGGCTTGGAGACTCAGTAGCGCTGACACTGTCCAACTCTATAATTGATTACGTGCTGACACTTGAATGCGATGACTGACGAGGAAACTCAGTCTACGAAGTAGTTGCTTGTGAAGAAACCAATGATGTTGCTGCCAAGGAACAATGATCTATCTCATTCCACACCCTTTAACTAATATAACAGAGTCTCCCCTTCCATCATTCTCTTCTTGGGATTCCGTGGAATCTGCTCCTGTCTCCTCCTCTCCTCGGGACTAATATCATCCACATTCGTTTCTTTCTGTGACTCCTTCTCTCCTTCCCCCAATGCAGCGCGGACCTCCGCCTCGGCATTCTCATGGCCGGCAGTCGCAACCGTCAAAATCTCCCTCTCAAATCCACCCACATGTTCCCACTCAATCCCCGCCGCCGTCAACATCTTACACCCCTCCGATGCCCCCACGAACGTCCCGGGCTCCTTCACCCCAAAATACACCTTGTGGATACCAGCCCTTCCGCCCTCGCGCGTCCGTGTAATGCGCTGCACGCACGGCGCATTACCCGACAATCGTTTCCCGCAAGGCTCCATCGTAACGTACATGATGAGCTTTCGGCCTGGTTCGGCGGGTAATACCGACGCGACTTGGTCTTCGGGAACGTTGTGGACGGCGGCGAAGTTGGACAAGCAGCATTGTTCGGCGTGGGTGTTGCCAGCGAGTTCCATGGTGTAGCCCGTGGAGAGGATTTTGTCACTTGACCCGGTTGGATCATCTTCTTTACGGGAGAGGAGGATTGCTCCGACACGGAAGTTTGTTGGGCGTGGCGGGGACTGTTCGGCGAGGGAGATGCATTTTTGCATATAGGTTGCGTGAAGGGATGAGTTCGTCATTATGGTGGTGGGGTATCAATCCGGATTGAATGTGGTGATAGTCTGACGTAGAATTGCAGAACGGTCGAAGAATTTAAGAGACAGTTGTGTTTCCCCAATGGTACAGAGAAGTCTTAAAAAATCGTCGTATGGAGCTACCGTTGAGTCGAGATCCAAAAAGTGGGATGCTTGAAGCTCCCAAAGGAAAGCGGGGAGCTCCAGCAGAACGATGACGGAATGGGGCCGGCGCGTCGGATTCGCGTATACCTAACCCGCGCCGCGGGTTTTTGCTCACCTGCTAAAGTGCTACTTTATTTTTCATCCAGGTCCAGGGCGCAACTCAATATCCGCCAATTTTATCCCATTCAAACACACATTCACAATGGCGAAAGGTGCAAAGACAAAAGACGTCGTTGACGAGCAGCCTCCGTCGGTTGAGGAAGATCTTTACAAGATCCTGGGTGTCGAGTCCGACGCAACTCCAGAGGCAATCAAGACTGCATACAAGAAAAATGCTTTAAAGCACCATCCTGGTAAACCCTAACTTCTCATTGCTCTGACACATTCTATATCGACGCCTGCTAATCACTAGAGTATAGACAAGGTCAGCGAAGACGTCCGTGAAGAAGCCCATAAGAAATTCCAGCAAATCGCCCTCGCCTACGGTGTCCTCTCCGATGAACGGCGTCGAAAGACTTATGATCGCACGGGCAGCACAGACGAGGTCCTCGGCGAAGATGGTGACTTTGACTGGTTGGATTTCTACCGTGAACAGCTTTCGGCAATGCTCGATACCCGCGCCGTCTCCGATTTCCAAAAGAAATACCAGGGCTCCGACGAGGAGAAGAAGGACTTGCTGGAGGCTTATGAGCAGCATGAAGGTGACATGGATGGTATTTATGACTCTGTCATGCTGTCCAACGTCCTAGATGACGATGAGCGCTTCCGGGCTATCATCGACCAGGCCATTACCGACGGCGAGGTGGAAAAGTACACAAAGTACACCGAGGAATCTGAGAGCAAGCGCCAGCGTCGAGTGAAGCGTGCCCAAAAGGAGGCCAAGGAAGCTGAGAAACTCGCCAAGGAGGTTGAGAATAACAAGAAGAAAAAGGCTGCCGCGGCGGCCAAGGCTACTAGCGGAGGCGGAGATGACGATCTGCTTGCACTTATTACCAAGCGCCAGCAGCAACGTGGACAGGGCTTCCTTGCTCAGTTGGAGGAGAAGTATGGTCAACCCAAGGGCAAGAAGCGCGCTCCTGTGGATGAACCACCGGAGGAGGCGTTCGCTGCTGTTGGTGCCCGCAAGAAGTCCAAGGATGCGAAGCCCAAGGCCAAAAAATCTGCGAAGCCGTAGCTGATATCACTGTCCTGCACTTTACCATCATGATTCACATGAATTTTCTGGGCGTTTTTTCTTTCTTTTCTTTTGGTGTATTTGGGTCCTGGGGAGTCTGTTTGAGCTTGCATTTGGTCTGGTCTGATCCACAATCTGATTCCTCCTTTTTTCGCCGTCTGGGTATCTGGTGCTTGGTCGGGTATTGGGAGAAGCTCCATAAGTTTTATTAGTTTCCGATGTGTTATTCTGATTGCATTCCGCCCTCTGTATTCGTGAATATACGTCTTCTCGTCCCGATGAATCTGGCGCGTGGGATCGTGATGAACTCCATAGTCTTCAATTGATCAAATCCGAGAAAATCTTCCACTTCCTGTTATCTGGTGTGCAATTTGAGATCGAGAGAACTTCTGGAGTTGCATTCGGCCAGGCTCGAGTCTTTCTGATGTATATGTTCGTCTGAGGTCGTGCCAATCGTCCATATGGATAGTCGCAATGCTATGTGTACTTCCCCATCCAGATTCATACCTTTGACGGAATAAGAGCTGTTGAAATCGCACAACAAGCGCAATGGGGTAGGCAAGTGTACGGCCTGTTCTCCGAGGCTGCGACACGATTAGATGGCCGCTTAGTCGTCGTCTTCCTCGTTGGGATCCATTGAGACGGGGCAGCTTCGCCTCACAAGGGCGCCTTCTTCAACTTCTTTTCTTCTTGACAACCCTCATCCAGACGTCTTTGCCATTCTCAATCGCTTCTTCACATCCTTCCCAAGAGTTTCCGACGAGAGCGCCGTATCATTCTTGTCAATCTTCTCATTCTTCACGGCTCCCCGCGTTGTCCCCAGCATTCTGTGCCTGTGCATGCCGGCCGCGAGCTGCAGCCACTGGGTGTTCTGGAAATATTCCCTTGGCTGACCTCGCGCAGCTGATCAGGGTTCACCCCTTGGGCGCGACGACCTTATCGTTCATAAGCTGGGCGATCAGTCTCCACATTCCTCGGCCACGGAGCGCTCTCGTTGGCTGACTGGCGTGCCGAGCTCCCCACAAGTCAAGCCCGCCGCAGGCGGAACCGCACGAGATGTCGTACCAAGCTGACAGCCGAGTCTCCCCCACATCTTCTTCCTCTTCTCCAGGTGCTGAGACTGAACACGAAGAAGACATTCAATTCCCGGACCATCAGCCTTCATCGCAGTCCTTGAGCCTACCCTCCCGACCCTGGGGGTTCCTAAGCTTGCACCGCGCGGTTCAGGACGTACTCTTGCCCCCGCCGGTGGTCGGTGGCCGTCGTTTTCGCCGATCTGGCTCACGGTCTCGCCGTGGAGCTCGAAGCCCCGTCGAGCCATTCATTCCGTCGCCGTTGCGGGCTGTATCGTCGGCCATGTCTGCAGCAAATTCCCCAGAGAGACAACAGGCCGATACCGAGGATGTTCGGCGTAGATCATTTGATCAGCCACCGCTAGACGACCGTCGAGCTTCCACTGCTCAGGGACCTGAAATCGATGATGATGCCAAGTCGGATATATCAACGGTCTCATCGGAGAAAACGGGGTCAAAAAAGAAAACCGCAGGACGGAAGGCAATGGCCGCTGTCATGTCAGGGTTGGAGGGGCGGTTGTTTCCTCGAAGTTTGAGTCGTGGGCGAGAGTCCAGTCGGGGGTCGTCAAGTCGCCGGAGTTCTTCGCTGGACCTGCGTTCTCCCTCATCTGACGCACGACGTAGTCGTTCGGTTTCCCCCACCAATCGCTCATTTCAATCTGAATCACAACCCATCACCCCTACCACCTCAAAAACAGGAAGCGCACTCAAAATGGAGAGTACTCACAACAAATCCGACGAGGCCCTGGTTAAACCCTCTGGCAGTATGCCTACCTACGTGCAGCCAGCTGAACATGGTGAATCTGGAGAGCGTCTCGCCAAGGACGTCTTCGATCGTGACAACAACATCATCGAAAGCAGCAGCGAGGATGATGATGATGGTGATGACGATGAAAGCGACGAGGACGACGACTATGAGGGATCTGGTGACGACGAACCCATTCCTGGTGTGACCTTTGTAACCGTCGATCGAGGCCGCAAGGACAAGAAGCGTGACGACATCACCAATATCACCGCCAGCGACTTCAACAAGCCGAAGGACACCAACCCCACTACCACGGAGCAGCGTAAGTGCCCGCCACTTTCTACTGCCCTTCATCTTGCCATATACTGATACAATATCTAGAGCAACAAGCCCCCAAGCGCAACATTCCCGGCATGGACAAGAAGCCGCGAAAGTCGGTTCTGAAGACTGTCATTCGTCCTCAGACCAACTACGAGATCCCCACTCCGCGCGCCCGATCTGCAGCTGGTACTCCATGTGGATCAGATGACGAAGAAGAAGAGGCCGCTATCAACCGTGCCCAGGGACTCAGCATCTACGTGTCCACGATCGACAACCGCGTGCCCAACCGCTCCATCCGCACCATCGTCCGTGGCGAGTTTGACGAGATCCAGAAGGAAGCCGACGAGGGTCGACGCCGCCAACGCAAGTACCTCGTTGCCACCGATCTCAGTCAAGAGTCTGAGTACGCCCTGGAGTGGACAATTGGCGGCCTTTTGCGCGACGGCGATACCATGTATGCGATCTACGCGATGCATGAGGATGCTGCCACCTCCTCCGTCCAGGTCGGTGAAGGGGCCAAGGCCATGCAGGATACCATGGCTGTCGTCGGCAGTCAGACCAAGGAGGTCTCCCGCGCCGGCACTCTCAACATCCTGGGCCGACTGAGCTCCGGTGTCTCCAGCAAGGCGGGCTCTGTTGATGCGCGTGCCTCGCCAGCCGCAGAGGCAGAGCGAACCCGGGCAGTCGAGAAGATCTCGGACATGTGCATCGGGTTTCTTCGGAAGACGGGCTTGCAGGTCCGTATTGCCGTGGAAGTCATCCACTGCAAGAGTCCGAAGCAGATGATCACTGAGGCCGTAAGTGAAGACTGAATATCTCACATTGACGTTACATAGCTTCAAGCTAATACTTCTCTTTAGATCGACGAGCTGGAACCGACCCTCGCAATCGTGGGTGCTCGCGGCCAAAGTGCCTTGAAGGGGTGAGTCCCCCTACACTATTACACTACATGCTTGGAGATTGCCGAAACTAACAAACTATAGAGTCTTGCTCGGCTCCTTCTCAAATTACCTCATCGCCAACTCTTCGGCTCCGGTGATGGTCGCCCGCCACAAGCTCCAGCGCCAGCTGCCAAAGCAGCAGGCGAACGCGAGACTCGCCAACAACCTCAACCCCTCGAAGACTCTCTTGGGAAAGCTTGAGGCTGAGGCCAAGGCGAAGGCAAACGCCACCACCGGGGCCCCGGGGAAGCGGTGGTAAAGTTGGAGGGGAAGTCGGAGGAGGAGGCCAAGGAAAAGGCCAATTAAGCACGACACATAGATAGCTCGTGCTCCAGCATTGTTTTGAAGAATGGGTGACGAGGCACCTATCCTTCTGTATGATTACACGACACGAAGGCATGGACAAGGGGTTGCGCATTCTTACCTGATTTATTTCTTAGCCCCATGTTCGACACATCTTGATACCCTGATTGTCATGCCCTGATGACCTCGTTTTATCATGATTATTATGATTTCTTCCTTGCATTTGCTCGAGTTTTAGTGTTACAGAGTAGTAACCGTAGTCCAACGAGCCAGATAGAGCGGTCTGGTCATCCGTAAAAGATAAAGTCCTCAACGTATCTTCAACAAGCTGAAAAGAACATGATGGGGTTGATTCCGAACTCAAGTTTGATCCCTGATAGAGAAATTACGGTATTCCATCGAGCCAGGAACACCATTCAACCAAGTCCTACGAATACATTCGGCATTGTTCTGGCCGTTATGTTTACCATACATGTCATGTATTTGGTGAATATACGAGAACGAAAATGAGAAGCTAATATTAGGATGTTTTAATCATTCTGCAGGCTCATGCATTCGTCGCCTCCATACTCGAAGACCGGAAAGTCAAAAGCAGTGTCGAGGCAGAAGGAAGGAGTCGTCAGAGGCCGAGCTGCCAGCCTAGCGCCCTCTCTTTTTAAAAGGTTTTGACGACTGTTCTGTTTGTTTCATGCACAATTTCCTGGCTTCTACGTTCTGTAAAACAGCAGCAGAGTGGTCGTAAGTTGATCTCATTTATTTTATGCTATGTTATGTCAAAATCACAATTTCCATGGTAGCCTCTGCATTCACATCAAGACGCAGGGGAAAAAAACAGCCAAGAAAAGCCACAAAATGGCCTGAGCCAAGGCTACCGATATGTACGAAAACTTCGTACCAAGTATGAATCTCATACTAGCCACTGTAAAATATGGTCCGATGCAAGTGGGCTAGACTCTTTAAGATCCATTTCTGAGGCACGTTAGTTTCCGTCATTCTAAGTTAAGGAGCCGCGTTAGAGGCAATGGGAGAGTGAGTTCTTACGGGGATGATTCCACCAAAGTTGTAAGCCAAGGAGACAACTTGTCCAAGACCAGCAAGGGCTCCACCTCGGCTGTACTGAGCGGCGGTTTCATCGAGGCACTTGAAAGTGGAGCACGAAACTGAGCTGCCCGTGTTGCCGGCGTTGACCAGGCCTGAGCTTGAGCAGGGGAGTACTTGTTCTGCTGCTGAGTGTATTGCCACGGCTGCTGCTGATACTGCTGATACTGCTGATACTGCTGATACTGCTGATACTGCTGATACTGCTGATACTGCTGAGGCTGTTGCTGGTACTGCTGGGGCCGCTGCTGGTACTGCTGAGACCCGCTGTACTGGGCAGAGGCAGCAGCAGCCAGGGTGACAATAGCGGCGATGGAGAACTTCATGTTGATAGCTAGTGGATAATTAGAGACTGAAGCATCGAGATAGTCTGAGCTTGTGGATGGAATCGTACCGTGTGGAGCGTGTGCTCTAGTAAACCGGTCGAGGGCAAATCCCCCGATGGGAGCAAGCCGATCAACGAGCGCTGTGAGAAACACTCTAACCCTCCACCAGAGTGCCCGCAAGGATACAAAATTGAGGGTTCTCGCTGCGTCTGGCAAGAGCCACCTTCGTGCCCTCGAGGCTCTCGTTTTGATGGTGGTGATTGCATTATTACTGCGAAGCCTCAGTGTCCTTAAGGCTTGGTATTGCTTGGTTCCGACTGTATCATCCAACAACCTCCATCTTGCCCTGACCAGACCAAGCTCGAAGGCAACAAGTGTGTCAGCATTGTCTCGCCGTCCTGCGACCAACCCGCAAAGTGGAACGGTAAGCGCTGCGTTGTCAGCGGCCATGCATCCTGTGAGAATGGCATTCACAAGGGTGATAATTGCATTACTGGAACACCTCCATCCTACCCTGACGGTTCCATCTTTGATGGTGCCCGCTGCGTGTCAAACTCCACCCCCCAATGCCGTCAAGGTACCATCCTCGGCGAAGATGGATCATGCCTGACCCCCACGCCTCCTCAATGTCCCCCCAACACGCGCCTCCAGAGTGGCTACTGTGTCTACGGTCTGCCAACTTGCGCTGCAGGCCAGAGATATGCCAATGGACGCTGTGAGAGTGCCGAGTCCCCACAATGAGCACAGAACTTTGTTTGGAAGAGCGGCCGGTGTATTCGCATTGGTGAGGAACACTGTGAGCCCGGATTCACCCTCAAGGACGGCCAGTGTGTCTCCGTCGCAAACCCTGATTGCGGTGATCTCGTATTCAACGGCAAAGCAGGTGTCCATGGCAAGCCTATCTGTCCTGAAGCTACCTATTTGGATGGAGAACGCTGCTCTTCTATCCATGAGCCACAATGCCCTCAAGGCTTCAAGTTCGATGGGGAAAAGTGCTCCGCCTACCAGACTCCTCAGTGTCCGTCCGGATCTGACTTCGACAAGGCCACCCAGGATTGTATCTCTACCAAGACGCCCGAGTGTCCCTCAAACCAGAGATTCAATGGCAAGCATTGTGCCATCATCACTGGACAGTACATGGAGTTCGAGTACTGCCCTACCGAATCATATGAAAAGGAATGCCGACGTACTCCGCTTGGAGTTGCGTGTGATGGCGTTCAATCTCAGAAGCAGCAGGACCAAACTCCTCAAGGAAATCCTGGCAATCCGCAAGGTCAGGGCAACATTCCTGGAGTGAACCTGCAGCCAAATATTGATTCCAACCCAGGCCAGTGGCAAGAGCGCCCACAATATGGTACTGGAACCCAGGGCAGCCAAGGCTGGGCTCAGCAGCCCGCTGCCGTTTAAATAAACCTTTGAGGCCAGTAAACCAGTACAAAGCATCCAACTCTGAGAGTTGACCGATTGGTTTCTGCAGCAGAGGTTGATTTTTGAAGCAGCAGAGGGCGTTATGTTCTCGCTGTTAATTGCTGCTCTTCTCTCAGCTGAATTTGGATTGGCTTTGTTGATCGTAGCTTCGCTAGGATTGTTCTCTCCCTCGTCAGCCTTGTTGTTGTCTCTACCTTCAGGATTAGTCACTCGTTCTCAATTCAGATCCTCCTCTCACTTTGCATACGAATCATCTTCAGGTATAATATCGTAAGGTCGGTCGTTCCACCACCCTGAGATGCGAGGATATATCGTAACATGGTAGAGACATCAACATCCCGTAAACCTTTGTTTGAACAAATTTCTAGCCCGTGGAAAAAAACCAATCTATTCTATTCTTTCGTTCTCTAGATTATCCAATCTCTTAAATCACATTCTTCAGCTGCTGTCCGGCCAAGAACCGTCGCAGATTATCCGCAATCAACCCCTCGCAGCCCTGGGGTCTTCCACCGGCAGCATGAGGGGAGAGAATCAGGTTCGGCGTCTTATAGAGTCTACTTGACTCAGGAAGAGGCTCTTCCTTGAAAACATCCAATGCTGCTCCGGCAATCTCACCCTTCTCCAGGGCATCCGCGAGAGCATCTTCATCGACCGAAACACCACGACCCACGTTGACAACCCAAGCATGCTTGGGCAGCAGCTTCAATCTCTCGGCATTCAGCACGTTGACCGTTGAGTCGGAGCCTGGCAAGATCATAACAAGAGCGTCCGTCTCGGGAAGAAGCTCGGGAAGCTTGTCCTCGGCGTAGACTTCGACGCCATTTCGCACACCCTGGCTCCGGGCGATTCCTCGAACGTTGGCTCCGAGGCCTGTCAAGTAGGGAGTGAGAGTCTTCGCAATACTTCCAAAGCCCCAAATGAGCACGCGAGAACCGCGCAAGGTGGTGAAATCAGACCGCGGGAACGAGCCGCCCAGATGGCCGGGCCACTTGGACTGCAGTTGATAGTCGCGCATTTCGTAAAAGTGTCGTGCTCCGTTGAGCAACAGGCCAAGAGTGTGCTCCGCAACAGGAAAGTCGTGTAGACCGACACCGGTGGTGATGATGATTTTGGAAGCGTCGAACCCGGCGGCCAGGACATCGTTGGGACCGGCAGCGAGAGACTGGATCCATTTCAAGCTCTTCAGACGCTGTGCGGCATCCTTCAGATTATCTGCGCTGTTGGCCCAAGTGACCAGAATTTCGGCGTCGACATGTTCCTCCGGGATGGCGGACTTGACATCATAGGGATGGAGAGAGACGGAGAATCCCTGCAGACTCTGCACGTCGAGTTTCACGGAGGTAGGGTAGAGGAGCTTCATTGTGATAGAGCAAGGATTAATAATGATAGGTATATTTAAGAAAAGATGAGAGTGAAGGAGAGGAAGATCATCTCACGACCCTTTTTTTTCCCACGGGCTTTGAATTAGTGCGGGGATGCGTGGGGGTTCTTGCGAATATCTCGGTTTATGTAAGTCGCTCCCCCGCGGGCAATTTCCCGGCTTCGAGGCAGCATTTCGGTCTTCGGTGCATCGGGATAGGAGGAGCCGATCTATAGGCAATTGTCTGGCCGATGGCTTTTTCAAGTGAAGCTCTCAGATAATCAACGACTTATCCTGTACTTAATCCGTTGGAGACCTTTTGTTTAGGTTGAACTTCCACTATTTCAGCATAACTAACTAGTCTCTACATTCGACTGACAGTTGAAAGGTCGGAGAAACTCCGGCATCGGGCTTAGGGCGGCATATCTGTGCCACCCTTTCCGCCAATGATAGCCCATGGATATTGATATATGGTTTGAAGCATTCGCTCACAACACTTAGTCATTCAATGTTCATAGGACCACGATCCAGCTATCTGGGTATATAGGTGCTGTGCGGGGGTTTACTGTTTTGCTTTTCCAGCAGCAGACACAGAGAGAAGATACAGCCGGGGTGTAGCTCTACTGACCAAGCAATCTACGAGAGGTGAAAAGTTAACGAAATACCCAGTGACGCCTAGAATTCTGCACAAGGGCTTTAGGAATTAACGATCGCAGGCCCTTCCCTCTGGGTATACTTATGAACTATCCGTTTTCCAGGTGACGCTTATTGCCCACCATTCTTGCTACTGATCGTCTTCTGCGAACCTTCGAAATACAAGCATCCGATATGAAGCCATGGATTGCGGAGAACCGGTAGCAGGCTGGGGTGCCACTCCTAGAGCTCAGGGACCCTTTGTCCAGCCGACTCTCATCGTATATATGAAGCCCGAGATGATTACTACCACAAAGAAGAATTTGCACCAGTGTTTGGGATTCTACCCCTTTGAGACGGAAGAGGAAGTCTTTAACTCGGCCAGTGATAGCAAACTCGAACTTGGCAGCATCATCACGACCGAGAGTGTTTTCGCGCTGCTTGAGTGTTGCCGAAGAAATGACACCCGCTTACCTATCTATGTAAGGGCCTTCATCTCATTCCTCTACACTACCAGGGATTTGGTTAGTACAAAATGGAATAAGCCAATTTCCAAATCTAACAAGCTTTCAATTCGTAGTTTCCTCGTGGTGCTATTTATTAATGAAAGTTGTCTGATCTAGAACTAGGACCCATGTCTCACGTAATGCGATGGCCTTTAGCAATAAACTTACGAGATCGAAGCTTTCAAAATAATATCGAACCAAAGGTATGTAACTAACCACGGACTTTAGCATCCGAGAGACTCTGACCGGAGATCAAACAGTGATGGAATCGAAGATCTGCTAATATCTTCTAATATAATTGTCATCGTAGGGTAGTCACCTAAGGCTCCCATAGTCGGTCGCTCGCAACAAGACCAACTGTCCGTGATCACACTGAATACCTCAGTATTCACGGATGGCTTCCCGTGGGATTCCCGTGATCGGCTTTGGGGTCGGCTGATAAGCCTCTGAAACGGCTCAACCGGCTCGCCGCCCGATGGATTTCCCCGCAGTGGCTTGCGCTTCAACCCCAGCCATTCCGGTACAGTCAGTACCTGAGGGGGTGGCTACACTGCTCAACAATATTGTCGGCTCTCCAACTAGCAGCCGTTGACGCAATGGAATCAAATACCTGATTGCCTCTCTTCAAAATTTGTTCTGGAGGTCAAATGAACTCAATATGATAAACTCAAGCTGCCCTCATTACATCTACATATCAGTCTTCGTCACGGATTGCCCGAGCGTGGGTCGGATCAGAGTACCGGCGCCCCAAGGACGGTGGCAAGGGCCATTATCAGAGTGGCTTGCGGCTGATTTGACACCAACTTTCTTTATCGCATCACGATATGAAGAGGGATTGGAAAAAACCCTCAAATCAGCCATCTGAGTTCTGTTCGATGTCGTCTCATAGACCGACAATATATTGGTCATTATCTTTGAGGATGGAATACATGCCCTGAATGGGTCAAGGGCTCATCGGCTGGCCTCCCGGTCATATCATATCCGTTATCTTGGCCACCACCCCTCACAACCTTAGCGTGCTCAGCCAGATTTCCCGCGTCAGGAATAGCGAGGACGCTAGCACGATTGGGCTATCATGTCCATTGCACGCGAGGCTTGACAAGGTTGCGGGGGAAGTGGAGACTTTGATTGGTGGAGCACTCTCATAGATTTGAATTGGCATTTTAGTACGAAAAGCTAACATGATAGCAAGACGAATAGGATGACGATAAGATGGTCACTGACCAACCATCCTGGTTGTACAAGAGGGCTCAAGCGTTAGACTGTAGACTAAAATGCAATTGTGATATCAGGACTGTAGTTAAATAGAGGGCCACCCACCGCGAATCTTTGGCGATTTTTGGTCACTTAACATCCATCCTGAGTGATCGGATTCATGATTGTCTATTATGGAGACCTTTACAGAGAAACAAGGACCAATGTTCGAGGAGAAAGGTGGCGGCTCTACTACTGAGAGTCAAGATGACCAACAGACCACTGGTGTTGTCATTGACAACACAGATCAACTGAAACGACATCTAGGCAATCGTCAGATTCAATTGATTGCCATCGGTGGCTCAATTGGTACAGCGACCTTCGTGAGCATCACGTCCGGTCTTGTCAAGGGTGGCCCCGGCAGCTTGTTCCTAGCATACACCATCTATTCCTGTATGATGGGCCTGGTCAACAATTCCATGGCCGAAATGGCTGTCTATATGCCGGTCAGTGGTGCTTTCATTCGCATGGCAGGCCACTGGGTTGATGAAGCCTTTGGGTTCTGGGCCGGTTGGAACTTCTTTATTTACGAGGTACTTCTCATACCATTTGAGATCTCGGCACTGAACCTCGTCTTGACATTCTGGCGGGATGATATACCCGTCGAGGCAGTGGTAGCTGGGTGCATCGTCATCTACTTGTGCGAACTCCCTTTCTTTCCCCGATCATTCGTCCTCTTCTCTATTATTTGTCGGAGACAGCGTGCTAACTCAGTAGCGAACCACTAGTGTCCTGAATGCATTTACGGTCAAGTGGTATGGTGAAGCTGAGTTTTGGCTTGCAACTGGAAAAGTGCTGCTGATTCTGATCGTCTTCCTTTTCACATTTATTACCATGGTCGGGGGCAATCCTAAGCACAATGCTTACGGGTTCCGCTATTGGAAAAACCCCGGTTCCTTTGCCGAATATATCTCAACGGGTCCTTTGGGTCGCTTTGAAGGCTTCCTAGGAGCTGTATGGAGTGCCTCGTTCACCGTCGTCGGTCCGGAATACATGTCGATGGTAGCAGGAGAAACAAAACTGCCTCGACGTTACCTTAAGACAGCATTCAAGACGACTTACGCTCGCTTTGCCTTCTTCTTTATCGGCAGTGCCCTATGCGTGGGAATTGTCATTCCATACAACGACAAAACGCTCTTGGATATTCTCAGCGGCTCTGCAAGTGGCTCGGGAACGGCTGCCGCATCTCCGTATGTCATCGCCATGAACAATTTGGGCATTACCGTGCTGCCCCACATCACGAATGCCCTCTTGGTGACTAGTATCTTCTCTGCCGGAAATGCCTACACATACTACGGCACTCGCAGCCTCTATGGCTTGTCTTTACAAGGCCAGGCACCCAAAATCCTTCGACGATGCACCAGAGCCGGCGTCCCTATCTACTGTCTTTGCGTTGTAATTGTCTTCCCCTTCCTTGCCTTCCTGAATGTTTCCAGTGGATCTGCTCAGGTTCTCACCTGGCTCACCAACATTATCACCGCCGCCCAAGTCATCGATTACATTATCATTTGCGTGACCTATCTCTTCTTTTATCGTGCCCTCCGTGCGCAAGGAGTCGACCGGCGTACTCTTCCATACTATGGCTACTTCCAGCCATACTCCGCATGGATTGGCCTGATTTGGATGACTTGCGTCGTATGCTGCTACGGCTATTCTACTTTCCTTCCAGGAAAGTTCACCGTGGGCGATTTCTTCACTTATTATACCATGGTTCTTGCCGCTCCAGTTCTGTTCTTTGGGTGGAAGATCTTCAAGCGCACCAAGTTCATCAAGGCGCACGAAGCTGATCTGATCTGGGACCGACCGATCATTGATGCGTACGAGGCAACTTTCACTGAGTATTCACCGGGCTTCTGGACAGAGATTCTGCAGATGTTTGGACTGCGGAGGAAGAAGAAGATTGTCCAGGAAGCCTGAAATGGGAACGCGAGGTCTTCTGGAAGATACTTGTTGTTTCATAGATCATGATGCCACCATATAGCGGCCATGCGGTATACTGAATACTGCTTGAGAAGGATCTAAGTAGCCCTACAATCATTTTGACGGATTTTAATTCCTTCGATGTATTGACTTAACCTCGACCGTATCATATTCACAGAAGAGGATGGGGAAGAAGTGCGGTATAAATTGAATTCGTAGTCAAGCTGTGGGGCTCATCAATGGATGTCTTGCAAGTCTGATACATCAGATGTGGTTCTCCAGCTGTGGACATCCAAGGCGCGTCCCTAGACGATACGACTTTCATGTTCGAGAGACTTCGAAAATAACACCTATGGATAATGGGGTCATTTGGCCATGACAAGAGTTTTGACGGTGACGAAAACACCCAGGATGGAAAAATCAGTCACCGGAGTGTCTAATGGATAGTGTGGATGGTGGATGATCTTCAGTGGTGCTCTAGCACATTTAAACCTCAGTTTTAGGACAATGAATTCTTAGCAGCATGAAAGTTGTTAGATTTGAAGCGGAATTGTAAAGATAACCAGGTTCAATTCGGATGGAGCCTCCCCAGCCATTCGGCGGAGTGTCAGTCGTCACCCATATCACGTGCCACGTCACCGCCCGAGCTCCAGCGTCCAGACAGCTTGGCCAACCCCCCCGGCCATCCCACCCTCTTGCTATCGACTACCCCCATCCGACATTTCCTGTCCTGTGCTGTGTCCGTGGAGGATCTGGACCTGATTCGCCCGCCATGGCCGACTTCGTCGACCCCCGGATGACCTCCATCAAGCCCCGCATCCGCTACAACACTATCGGAGGTATCAACGGACCGCTGGTCTTCCTCGACAATGTGAGATCGGCCCTGAGCTAGGCCTGGAACTAATCATGGAACACTTGTTGATTATGCGTTGCCCTAAATAGGTCAAGTTCCCCCGTTACAACGAGATCGTATCCCTGACGCTTCCCGATGGAACGGAGCGCTCCGGTCAGGTACTGGAGGCTAGAGGTAAGCTTGTTCCACTGCTATCATGAGCTCTATTCGTTAGTCAGAGACTAAGTTTCATTTGTTTGATATAGGAAGCCGAGCCGTTGTGCAGGTGCGCACCGATACCGAACCATTTCCCATTCCCCTTACGATAGAGGTATTAACATAACCAATTCGCGATTAGGTGTTCGAAGGCACTTCGGGTATCGATGTTAAGAAGGTATAATCCCGGTTTATAAGGGTTGATAAATAAATGAGCGCGCTGACTTTGAGATCAGACAAAAGTCGAGTTCTCCGGCCACAGCTTGAAGCTTGGTGTGTCCGAGGACATGCTGGGTCGTGTCTTCGACGGTTCGGGACGTGCCATTGATAAGGGTCCCAAGGTGTTAGCGGAGGACTACCTGGATATCAACGGACAGCCTATCAACCCGTACTCTCGAGTATGCGACACTGCCCAGATGATCAGAAAGCTATGGAAAGCTGATTCCAAATGTTTAGGTTTACCCCGAGGAAATGATCTCCACCGGTATCTCCGCTATCGACACCATGAACTCCATCGCCCGTGGACAGAAGATCCCCATTTTCTCCGCCGCCGGTCTTCCCCACAACGAAATCGCTGCTCAGATCTGTCGTCAAGCCGGCCTGGTCAAGCGCCCTACTAAGGATGTCCACGACGGTCACGAGGAGAACTTCTCGATTGTCTTCGCTGCTATGGGTGTTAACATGGAAACCGCCCGCTTCTTCACCCGCGACTTCGAGGAGAACGGCAGTATGGAGCGTGTCACTCTGTTCCTGAACTTGGCCAACGACCCCACCATTGAGCGTATCATTACCCCTCGTCTGGCCCTGACCACCGCCGAATACTATGCCTACCAGTTGGAGAAGCACGTGTTGGTCATCATGACTGATCTGTCGGCTTACTGTGATGCGCTGCGTGAGGTTTCCGCTGCCCGTGAGGAAGTGCCCGGACGTCGTGGTTACCCGGGTTACATGTACACGGATTTGTCGACCATCTACGAGCGTGCTGGTCGTGTTGAGGGCCGTAACGGATCCATTACTCAGATCCCCATTCTGACCATGCCCAACGATGGTATGAGAAATCTTCCTTGCCTCTTAAGATTAACTTATGATTAGGCTTTTGACTAATGACTGACCGCTTCTCTAGATATCACTCATCCCATCCCAGATCTTACAGGTAATTGAACCTCCAATGTCATTTGTCGTAACCTGCTAATACCATGATCTCTGCAGGTTATATTACAGAGGGCCAAATCTTCATTGACCGTCAACTCGCTAACAAGGGTGTCTACCCTCCCATCAACGTGCTGCCTTCGCTCTCACGTCTGATGAAGTCCGCTATCGGCGAGGGCCGTACCCGCAAGGACCACTCCGATGTGTCTAACCAACTGTACGCCAAGTACGCCATTGGTCGTGATGCCGGTAAGACAAACTCCTATATTCTTCGCCGTTCGCAATGCCCAATCTAACATAATTGTCCTTCTACAGCCGCCATGAAGGCAGTCGTCGGTGAGGAAGCCCTTTCCTCCGAGGACAAGCTGTCCCTGGAGTTCCTCGAGAAGTTCGAGCGCACCTTCATCAGCCAGTCTCCATACGAGTCCCGCTCGATTCACGAGTCCCTCGACATTGCCTGGAACCTTCTCCGTGTCTACCCCAAGGAGTTGCTCAACCGTATTCCCAAGCGTGTCCTGGACGAGTTCTACGCCCGTTCTGCCCGCAAGATCGCCAACAAGGATACCCGCGACAACTCGGCCGAGCAGCAGAAGAGCGACAACCTCATCGATGCGTAAATTTAGAAGTAGCGGCAAGTGTATTTTCTGGAATTTCTCGGGGTTTTGAGTTGCTCGCGCTGAGGGGGGAAGAAAGAAGCGCGTGGGTACCCGGGAACCCTCCTCCCGTGGTCTCAGCATGATCATCTGTTCCCATTGCATATACTCTTCTGTGCGGTTGTATCTGTTTCCAGCTTTCTTTTTTTCGCTTTTATTGCGCGTGTCCTGGTCCACCCTCCCAATACAAATTTTGGATCCACATTATGAGATAGCCAGGCTTCTGTTCCTATTGCAAGACCGTAAATATCGTTCCAGTCGTCTTTTCCTGATGACTTACGTATCATCCATCGATCTGCCATTTATTTCGTGAATAGTAAAGTGATTAGTATCTATCTGGTGGGGGTTTCGAATTTACAGAGAACTTACGCTTGTACGCTCTGACAACACCATCTCTCTATATGGGACATCAGCCTAGTTACGAAGAGCAACCATGAGAATATCAACCGTTTATTTTAGAACCCAGTATGTACAAAAGTTTTGATATCCCAAAAAAAAAATCGAGAGGGAGAGAGAAATCATAATACACGCTTTTTAAAACCCCCGTGCGTGCAAATCATCTAGAAAGAGTCTTCAAACATCATCAAAGAAACATCAAAAGAAAAACATGAGACATAGAGCCCGTATACCTGCCTGGCCTCATGTAAATGAAGCACCGAGGGTACAGTGGCCCTGGAAATTCAGGGGGAATATGGAGGAGGAATGCGCCGCTTAGAAACGCAGGTCCCAGCCGATCTTGGGGCCAAGACGGGGGAGCTCATCGGCAACGCTCTGGACATCCTTGTCGCCACGGCCGCTCAGGTTCAGAACAATGTTCTGGCCCTTCTCCATGGTCTTGGCAATCTGCATGCAGCCCCAGACGGCGTGCGAAGATTCCAAAGCAGGGATGATACCCTCGTGCTGGGCGAGGGCGCGGAAGCCAGCAAGAGCCTGGCTGTCGTCGGCAGCGATGAAAGTGGCACGGTCAGCGTCCTTCCAGGCGCTCAGCTCGGGGCCCACACCCGGGTAGTCCAGACCGGCGGAAATGGAGTGAGTCTCGGAGATCTGGCCATGCTCGTCCTGGAGGACATAGGTGCGGACACCGTGGAGGACACCCTTGGTGCCACCAGACAAGGTAGCGGAGTGGCGGAGAGTATCGACGCCATCACCACCCGCCTCAACACCGACGAGCTTGACGCTGTGGTCGTTGGAGAAGGGGTAGAACATACCGACGGCGTTACTGCCGCCGCCGACGCAAGCAACAACTGCGTCGGGAAGCTTGCCGATTGCCTCCTTCATCTGCTGCTTGGTCTCTTCGCCGATCACAGACTGGAAAGTACGGACGATAGTGGGGAATGGGTGAGGGCCGATAGCGGAACCGATGATGTAATGGGTAGTGTCGAGCTCAACAACCCAGGCGCGGAGAGCCTCGTTAACGGCATCACGGAGAGTACGGCTGCCAGCATCAACGGCAACAACGGAAGCACCGAGCAGCTTCATACGGAAGACGTTGAGGGCCTGGCGACGGACGTCCTCGGCACCCATGTAGACGGTACACTTCATACCAAACTTGGCGCAAACGGTAGCAGTAGCGACACCGTGCTGTCCAGCACCAGTCTCGGCAATGATTTGGGTCTTACCCAGGCGGCGAGCAATAAGAATTTGACCCAGAGCGTTGTTGATCTTGTGACTACCGGTGTGGTTAAGATCCTCACGCTTCAACCAGATGTTGGCACCACCAACATGGTCAGTCAGGCGCTGGGCCAGGTGAAGGCTGCTGGGGCGGCCCATATAAGGATAGTAGGAGCGGAACTCTTCCCAGAATGTAGGGTCATTGCGGGCTAAATCGAAGCCCTTCTCGAGCTCTGCCAAGCAGTCCATAAGTGATTCGGGCACATACTGACCACCGAACTCGCCGAAGCGGGATGGCTGTGCAGAGGGGTCGTGAGTAACGTTCAGGGCCTCCAATTGATCTCCCAGGCCAGGACCGGCAGGGGTATCAGCCTCGGTGATGACCATGGTAGGAGCAGACTCGGCATCGGGCAGGGCCTTTTGCACAGCGTCAATGATTTTGACCTCATGGGTCAGGGAACCCTGTGTATCACGCTCGCGCCTACGACCAGTAACGCTGGAGAGGTACTCTTCAGCAGCCTTGGCGGCCTGGCCTGCAGGAGCATTACCAACAACAGTGATGATCTGACTGCCGATGACGACACCCTCGGCGGTGTCCTGAACGGCCAGGAAGTGCTCGCGAGTGCTAACGCCGAATCCAACAGCGGCGGGAACGTTGCCAGAATATTCGTGAACGCGCTTCAAGAGCTCGGGAATGTTGGCGCTCAGTGTGCCGGTAGCTCCAGTGACACCCATACGGGAAACGACGTAGATGAAGGAGTCGGCGATCTTGCACAAAAGCTTCATGCGGGACTCGGAGGTTGCGGGGGCGATCAGAGGGACGTAGGATAGACTATTTTAGATTGACAGAGATGTTAGTTCCTTTTTTCAGTTCCAATTGGAATCAATCCAATTGACTTACCCAGCGCTGGCGCAGAGGTCACGGAAGCGTACGGCCTCCTCTGGTGGCAAATCCACCATGATGAAGCCATTGACACCGGCCTTCTTGCAATCTTGGAGCATACGCTCCTCACCATAACTCAGCACTGGGTTATAATAACCCATCAGCATAATAGGGGCCTTCAAGCCCCGGCTCCGAGCAGTGCGGACGAGCTCAAGAACTGTGGTGACGGTAACTCCGTTCTGGAGGGCCTTTGTATTGGCCTTTTGAATGGTGGGGCCATCTGCAATGGGGTCTGTGAAAGGAATACCGAGTTCAATAATATCTGCCAGGCAAGTTGAAAGGTTAGTTCCCAATCCCTGTCAAACTCCAAGTACCGCTGTCAATCTATGAGTGCGAAACGACATACCAGCACCTCCATTCTCCAATCCAAGCAGGATATCAACGGCCTCTTCAGTGGTGGGGTATCCAGCAGTGATATAGGCAACCAGAGCGGCGCGCCGTTGCTCCTTGCACTTGGCAAAGGTCTCTTTAATGGCGTCCATGGCTGTAGGCGCGAAGGCGTTGGTGATCGTGGGGTAAAATGAGCGTGTGGTCAAAAGGTCCGGGAGATGGTCACTTGAGATCAAGGGTATTAATGATAGGGCTAATAGAGTCTCCCAATTGACTCAGTCGAAAGAGCTAGACCAATATGCTTGGAAGGAAAATATGTATGAAGATAGGTGCTATTCGGTGAGTCAATGAACTTGCCTTTTCCACTTAATTCGCCCCGCAGGATCACGTGGCGATAAGATAGTGTCCAATTTTATGACCCTGGGTGGCGAGTTCCTATAGACCGGACAATATTTCTGGTCAGGCAAAGAGAGGAACCAAGGAAATGAGATTGAAGTTGAAGAATTAAAGTTTGATTTATTTGATGCCGAGATACCGGTATAGCTGTCGAGAGTGCTCCGTAAGTAACGAAGAAAGCGTGGGGATCAGGACTTCGACGTCACATCCCTCGTGGAGCCTTCATAAACAGGTTATGTGGTGTTGACTCGTGCATTGCATCATTTGTCTTGTACAATCTTGCCCATAAAATCAATGCATCACTCGAATTTGGGTTTTTAATTGAAGACTGAACACCATGGACTTTATGTACGCCTGCACAGGTAGCTCCATCACTTGATTCCCCATATAGTTACTCAACTAGCCTCGGAATCGAGTTATGTAATCAAAGTCGTCGGTGCCGGCACTAGCCCTAAAGAGACCTGACGACGTGGGTGTTTCGTATTCCTGGATAACAACACGAAAAGGGGAATTGAATATGAGGTCAGGGCATGAAACCTTGGTTAAATTTTCAGGATTAAGTCAATAGAGTGACAAGCCTAGCATGAGATAACCACATGACGTTACCAAAAAGTCCAGGGCAGACAACACAATACCGGCTAGCAGTCGCTCGGACTACTAAAGAGAATGAACTAATACAAAATACACTTGAAAACACTACGAGAATGAAGACCAACTATGATCAGAAAACAGTAGATGAGTTGGTGCGAGATATAAAAGCCAAGATACACAAAAAGGCACCCAATACAAAGGGGCTATCTTCCCAAAACGCCACAACAATGCAGTGAACAGTAAAAACAACCCTCTGCTCAAGACAAATAACAATCAAAAGAAGAATCCCAAATTATTCCAAACGGAGAAGAGGTAGATCAAACAATACAAGATCTAAGGACGATTCAAGCTGCTCGAGAACGACTCGAAAAGTCCCTGGACCCTGCACTGGTGAAACCACCCATATCCCGATGCGCCGGGAGCGAACTAGACAAGCCAAAAAAAGGCTAGTCCAAGACCTCCAAGATCCCAAAATTCCAAAATCAAATATCAAATATCAAACATCCCAAAATCTATCCCAATCCGTCCTGCGAATGCATAAGGAATGACTGCAGCGCCCATGCTATGCCAAGTACTCGTACAGTAGCCCAAATAAGTAGTATCAAAAGGAGAGGAAGCCCAAAATGCCCGGCAGATGGAAAATGCAACCCAAAAAAGGAATGAACAAGACACCGTCTAGAGAAAAACAAAACAATGCAAGATAAACAGGGTGTCAAACCGCGAAAACGAAAATGCAAATTTGTTTTGGGTCGATGTGGGCATTTCGGCATCAAGTGTGTAAGGAGAGACGTGAAAATCGTAAGTAAACTGTCAACCAGGACTTCGAAGCAGGGCATAGAAACAATGTATCCCCGAAGAGAGACACCCTTTCTGCACCCGCGAGAAGTGCGGTGACGGCTGGGCTTTGCGTAAGGAGTGACAGGAAGGAAAATCGTATCTTCAACGGAGCAAGAGGGGGAAAGTATGAAGACAGAAGGGGAAAATAAAAACAAATAGCAACAACGCAAAATAACAAAGTTCAGAGATCAGTGACCGTGCGCTCCATCATGGATCGGATACACTGGGTCCATGTAGCCATAGGCGGCGCTAGTCGAGGGAGTTGTGGCGCCGAGGCTGTGCATCTCCCAGGACGTCCGCGGGCTGGGAGCAACCAGACCGTGAGAATTTTGAGGGTGGCAGATGGCAGGATAGGAGTAAGCTCCGACGGAAGAGTACGGCTGGCTGATGGGAGGCATCACGGAACGGAGATCAGAGGCAGCAGACATCGGAGCGCAGGACTGATCGGGCTGCGAGACGTAGACCGGTGCAGGTAGGGCGTGGTGGTGACCGTAGGTGCTGATCGGGCCGGCATCGGAGAGCGACTGGGGGGAACCAGTGCCGTGAGGCTCGGTTCCCGAGTCAGAGCCGGTGCCGTGGCTGGCGTAGTTCGTCATCGGTGTAGGTAGGACACCCGCGGTGGATGAGTAGCTAGCGGACTACAAACGGTTAGTCGATATCGACAGAGCCGAAGGGTAACGAATACTTACGTATTTTCCAATGATCTTGCGCAGAGCCTCGGCGAGGATGCTCCAGGGGAAAACCTTGACGTCCTTCTCAATGTTACGGGGCTTGGGTGCAGGGAAGCCCATAATAACCTTGAAGAACTCCTCGCTATCAGCCTTAGCCTTAGAGACGGTAAGCGGGCGGAAGCCCTCCAGGTTTCGTCGGATGCGGTTCTTCTCCTCAACGGTGAAGCGGACGGCGACCAGGGACTCCAGCAGGTAGATAGTGTCCACACTGGTGACGAAGCACTCATCCTTGCCTTCCCAGTGGATGCAGCTGATGCAAATGCTGTTGGGGGCGCGCTCCTCGGGGGTCACGGGCTTGAATTCGGCATTGATAGTGCTACCAGTCTGGGAACGAGTAAACTGCACTAGGCGGCGCTGAGATTCACGCTCCTCCGCACTCCAGCCAACGGCCATCGAGTTCAGGTCACCATTCAGCTTCAGAACAGCCTTGGTAGGGTACATGGCGTACGGGTTGAAGGTGGAGTTCTGGCCAATGCCGCTGGCCTGCTGCAAGGTGGAGGTGCGGATCAAGGTAGGGTTGGCGGAATTGGAAGCGCGTGCCGGCGAGGGTCTCCGATGCTGTGACATAGAATGAACCATGCCGAGGCTTTGGCTTCGCATGTCAGTGGGGCCAGGCATGAAAGATGGACTCCAGGCTGGGGTCAGAGGAGAAGGAGCACGCAGAGCTGGCTGAGGGGTGGCCGAGACACTCGAGAACTGAGTCGGGCCGACACGGGGAGAAGAAGCAGCGTGGTATGGGGTGACGAATCCTGTCATAGCAGGCAAGGTTTGCAGGTAGGGCGAGAAAGAAGCCGAGCGGTTGTCCCGGTAGGTATAGTTGTCCTGCTGCTCAATCTTAGGAATACTCTGGTGGGGGGTCCGCTTGGCTGGCACAGGAGCAGGCACGGCATGGTCAGAGTAAGAAGAGAACTTTCTCTTGCGCGACTCGGCACCCGGCGAGGGGTGCGACACCTGCTCGTAGGTATATACACCGACTTGCAAGGTTGTAGGTTGGCAGTCACTCTGAGTCTCCAGGACGACCTGGAGGGGGACCGCCACGGAGGGTGAACCAGTTGAGATGAATGACGGGGCATCGGCCGAGAGGCAGTACTGGAAGTTGGTACCTTGGAAGCCCAGAAAATGTGGGTTGCACTCGCACTTTTTGCTTCCAAAGACAATGTACAAGGCGCCATAAGAGGAGCTGTGCAGGTCAAATGGAGACTGGATCTGCACCACAACCCGAGTACCCTCACAACCACGCTGAGGGCTATATGTAACAATCTCGGGAACTTGTCGAGGTCGGCTACCCATCATCGGAGACTGTGCCTCTTCGTACGAGCTGGCATATTCGTTGCTGGGAATGTATGGGACACAGTCCGAGATCTGGCTGGCCTGGTCGGCCATGGGTGAGGGGACGAGAGAAGTAGTCACATAAGGGGATTGGCCGTAGGTCGAGTACGAACCAGCATCCTGCAAAGAATGCGTGGAGGCGTAGTCTGAATCGAGGGTGTCAGTACGAGCCGTGTGCAATGAGCATGCAACCAGTCGCGGGGTAAACCTACCGAGTACGGAGCCGGCAGCGGGCTTCTGGAAACTAGACATGGACAGTATCGGCTCAGACTTGGCCCACAGGCCGTCTGAAAACGCACCGACAAACTGTGACTCTTCAGAATCCGAGAAGTCCAACGACTCGCCTAGAATGAGAGGCGTCTGGAAATTCGGGTCGAACTAAACGCGAAAGGGTCAGCTGGAGATTCAAGTAAGTGAACACAAAAGATTCCGCACAGGCAGGCTAGATCAGGAGAGTTGCTGAATGTCACACCGAATAAGGGCAGGAATTCAAACAGAATGACCCAGGATGAAGGGCAACACGCTGCAGGTGTCCAGAAGGAGGGGAGACAAAAGGCAAAACCCGGGAACCGAAACAGAAACAGTGAGGCTCACCAAAACACCGTGAGTCTTCGAGTAAGCCAGCTTGAAGGTGTTGCAGCGACTGCAACAAGACTGAACTGTTTGAAGTAGCGAATGACTGGGATTTTATCCACAAAAATCGACGACGGAGGACACACGAAAGGGGCGGTTCTCCGAGACAGACGACAACGAGACAGAACGAGCGACGAGCTTGAAGCTTTTTGCGGTCAGGATCACAGATATGGCGGTATCAACGGGGCTCGAATCACCATCCAGCAATGGAGACGAAGGCGCAACGAGGCGGAGACTAGATGATGGATGGCTGCAGCGAGAGATTTGAAAATTACGCAGTAGTCCAATGAATCAATGGTTCATCAAGCCGAGCACGAGGGCTAATTTTCCAAAGATTGGCGAGGTTTCGGCTTTCTTTTTCTCCAATTCCCGTGAGGTTTCGGGAAAGGCTTGACGTCGATTGGGTCGGAGTGAGGAGTTACTGCTTCAGCAATGAGTACGAACACGTTTCCAAATCTTCCCCGGCTTTCAGGTTCGCGGCCCGTTCTTTGGGTTTCTGATTTGGGCTTGGGGGGCCAATGGGGGCTATGACTTGTGAAACCGATCCAGGAGAGACCAGTGATGGTTGAACGGGTAGAAGCAAAGGCAGCGCAAGACCGGATCAGTGCATCAACTATAGAAAGCCCGAACCTCTCCGAGGTAATAAAAGCCCTAGCCCTAGCCCAAGCCTAAGCCTAAGCCCAAGCCTAAGCCCAAGCCCAAGATCGAAATCGAAATGGATAATCCAAGATCCAAGATCCAAGATCCAAGATCCAAAAACCCAAAGAACCAACAAAGCCAAAAACGAAAGCCCCAAGCAATGATAGAAGACAGGGGTGGGATGAAACTCACCAGGTGAATCAAAATAAAAGACAAAACGGATGCCCCTTCGACACTTTGACGTCGTCCGTGTGGCCTAATATGCAAGAACCGTGTTGAAAGCGAGCTGGACGAAAACAGGGGAGTCAATAACAAACACTTGACCCGAAATGAGATCCAATACAATAAGATGAGATGGAAACGACGACCCTCAAGGGGAACCGGCACTATCGAAAACGATGGCACACGGGGAAGTCAAGCCGGGCCGATATCAATGACGCTCCTCATCTCTCGGAGCCTCGTTGGCTCTGATCCCACGGGTTACGATCCTGTCGAAAGGGTCCGTAACTGCAAGGAGATGCGAACCCTCTGGAACAGGATCGCCCCAAAGAGGAAAAGATGCAAGGCACGAGGGGGGGGGAGAAGGAGAGTGAGACCGTGGCCCTTTGAAAGGGAAGGAGGGGAAGGGAGGGGGGAAAGGGGAATAAAGGCGAAGGATGTCGATCAATGCAGGTAATACGGGAGGATTAACTCTGTTTTGGCGACTGACCTGATCTTGATAGTGACAACCGTCCGAGACCTTTCCAATAGCTTGGACGATCCGAGGTGCTTTCAGCCGAGACAGTCGATTCACTTAATGGCTCAAATAAATCGACAATTCCGGAGACGGCGAACGTCCCTGGCGATCTAGAACAAGGGGGAGAGCACAAAAGCGAATGGCCGTGAGATCTCTCGAGAGAGGCTAATGATGATGGGTGTCGTATATCGTCGACCGTCCGCGCTTTTTGATACGGGGTCGGAGTGGTCCACCAAACGGGCTGTCTACACGAGCGTAGTCGACCAGAAGGGGAGAATTGAGAAATGAACAACAAGTCGCAAACGAACCGCGACTGCGTCCGACTGAACAATCTCCGAGGCCTGAGAAGTCGTCCTGGTAAATGAGACCTTTTTCCCGGACGATCTCCAAGGGCGAATGATTGTCGTCGCCAATAATTAAAAATTAATGAATATTCGGGTTATAACCGATTCCTTTTCTTTGGGTCCTTCTTTTCTTCTGCTTTTTCTTTTCTGGGAGAATTTCCGATAAGAGGTTTGGTTGTCGAGGGTTCCAGTCCAGAATCTTATCTTCCAAAAATAAAAGTGATAAACGTAGCGAACGTGATTCTCGTAGCAGCAAGTAGCGAGCGTAAGAGCGAACGTGGTGGAGCGAATGTGTTGAGACCTTCAAGGTGTCATCATAAAAAAGAGTCCTTGATAATAAGGAAATAGTTCCAAGCGGAAGGGGAGAGGAAGAGAGGAGGGGAAAGGGAATCGAAGCAAGGATGGCGAAGGGTTAAAAGCAACGGTCATATACGAGCAAATGATTATTATTAGCAGTCATGGTTGGGCAGGTCAGAGTGCAACTGCTCCGGACTATACTCTTCTCGGTAGGGGAACGGTGGTGGACAATGGGAGGCAGACCAGTGTGGGCAGGGCCACTAGGGCCACGAGCTGTGGAGTCTCGGGACTGCTACACGTCTCCCCTTTGGGAATGGTGCCAAAAAAAAAAGAAAAGGGAAAATACGAAAAATAGATTCTAGGATTTCCATGATTTATGATAATATAATAATATTTTATGAATTTTGAGAGGGGGGAAGTCAAAAGAAATCAAAAATCAAATATTCTTCTTTGGGGGGGGGAGGGGGGTTGGGTTCCACCCTTCGCCCCTCCCCAGCCAGTCCAAGTAAACGACTAACCGACTAACCAACTAGCGGGAAATCGTGGCGGGGGATGCACAGAGCAACCGATATCGAGGGAAATCGGGCGTTGAACGACTTTGCATCGTCATACTTCCGGGCCAGATGATAGTATACTTCTCCGTACTCAACTATAGGACTAAATAGCTCCAAATCTGTAGCTCAATAATGCGTACGGAAGCATGGAGTCGTCGGTGCAGTATGGAGGCCCGATCTCGTACATGATCTATCTGGCTAGAAGATATGGTCGGGCAATATGGTCGTTAGTAATCCTGTACCCCGTCCTCGACGAGGGTAAGAAATCATGATCGAGTGGCACGGTCTAGGGTTTCGGAGGTGGAACGACCGGCATCCGGCTGAGGCAGACATGTATAGTAGTTATATGGATAGATTTGGATAGTGACCTGACAATCTCCTGACAAAGAAAAGCTATATTGAGTACGCTGGAGACAGGGGAAACGGTAACTATCGTAGAGTCAGGTCCGAGTCCTCACCACGACAAGTATCGTCTACATATTTACATGGTCAATCCGTGGTGCTACTTCACACACTACCCAGCGCCTCGGGAGCCACTGCACAGTGTCGGGGGTACCGTTCCGAGGCGTCCGACCGGGCAAAATCCCAAATATCGCCCGTCGGTCATGCGCTGGTCTGACGGCGCCGTTACGATGATTCCTTTTACTCAATCATCTCCATCTTCTCAATACCGAGACTAAGCAACCCTGGGACTGGTCGATCCAAAACTTTGGAAGATTGTCCATTGAACTACTATATATTTTACTTTGCAATCGGAATAGCCAAGCTGATGACCATGGATCCAGAAAAAAGAAAAGAAAACTCCGAAAATACGAGAATACGGGAGCGTACTGTAGTAACGCGACTAAAAAAAATGGAAGAGCGCGGAAGTTGAACGCGACTCGGAATAAACACCAATCTGGCGGCCTGCGCCGCGAGAAAAGTGGAGCCCAGGAGGGTTGACCGGCCGCAGTAAATGGAAAAGAACCATGGACGGGATACCAGTATCATTAGGGAGTAAGGCATTCTAACCAACAAGTTTATCAATCAACGGTAGCTACCGAGTCGTCTTCACTTATCCGAACCAATGCCCTAGCTGCAGCGCAGCCTTCGGAATGGTGTCAAGAAATCATACAGTCATAGTAATCACACAGTCATCACAGATCGCATGGAAGGTGGGACACTAGGTAAAGAAAAAAAAACCCCCACCCCTATCCTGGAAACAATCCAAACACAAGAACAGCGAGGGCAAAACGAAAAGATTGCAACGCTATCGAGGCCAACGGCTGTTCTCTGTTCTTTCGTCTTCCGACCAGCGCCCAATCACCGATCTTGCTGGTCTTCCGAGGCTATCCTTTACGGGGATTGGGGACCAATCAGCATTGTCCACTTGCTGACTTGCTGGTATAATTAGCAGCGATGTTTCCTTAAGCAGCTTTAGCTCCCGCCCTAAGCTGAGACCGCCTTAGCCCCCCCTTCATCACGTCCCGGTTGTTGTGAAGAGTCCGGAGTACCGGAGAACAGCTGCTCTGCTGGTACTCTGTAGATACCGTTCCTAGTGACTAGGTCCTAGCTGCGAGGTCCTAGCGGAGAGAAGCTCCCAGCGCAAGTGGCCCTTGCCGGGAGCCCTTTGGTACTTGGATCTCGAGGGGCTTGGCGCGAGAAGGCAGGGCGTCCCTTGGGTCAACCGTCCAAAATGGTGGAGGATACTCCCAAAGCCAAGCCGCCTTCTCCCACGCCTTTACTCCGCCCGCCCCCCAAAGCCTTGAAGCCACCCTTCATGGGGCAAAAGACCCTGCATTTGCCGATAGCCTCCAATTACTCAAGTATCACTTGTTCCTTATTCAGGATTAATCATCCACTATTCACACTCGACACACACTCGGGGTTGTTCCTTCCTTTGATCCTCCATCTTTATCTATCTTCAGATCTCGACGATTCTTCTCCTTTTGAGTACCCTGTCCGTGACGAAAGGATTAAGTCTCCACTCGCGGATCACCCTGGCCATCCACCCATTGGCTCTCAAAGCCCTTTTTCTCCCCCTGCCATCACCGGTTCGGCCGACCAGCA